GTGTGTGTGTGTGTGTGTGTGTGTGTGTGTGTGTGTGTGTGTGTGTGGCGAATTTGGGCAGAAAATCGTGTTGTCGATGTTGAAGAAAATGACATTTTACTGTTAAAAAATAGGCCGCTAGACGGAAGCGAATTATACTTTTAGGTCAAATATATTTCAACTCAGTCAGAGAGAAATTGCTGGCGTTTGTTCGCGCCGCATGAAAACAGAGCAACGACGCGTGCGATAATGCGCCCAGCCAAAATAAGAAGAAAACAATCAATGTCACAGTGAAAAACAACGCAAAAAATATATAACATAATACACGGTACACGAAAAGAAACGATAATGATCACAAATAAATGAAATAGCGCAATAAAAAGAACAACACGTAGAACTTACGACAAATGACGGAAAAATGAGCACACAAAATCTATTCGTGAGATGAAAAAGAACGTATGTTTTTGTTCAGTGTTAAATATTTGGGAAAGAAAGTATGTTTTCGGCCGATTTGGTCTAACTAAAAAAGGAGTATGTTTGATGGCAACTCGAAATACTAAAAAAAAGAATGTTTTCATTCCGAATGGAAGGTTTATGAAATCCTGTTGAAGGCGAATAGAATAAATTTAATTATTTACACCGTTCTAGCGAGCATTCTTTTTTGACAATACAATTGCACCAAAACTGCCCGTTGTTATCATTTGAATAGATAGAGAGATACATGCATTATTTTTTTCGCAAAAACTTTCATTCTTTTTGATATTTGAATTGTTGACACGAAACATACTTCCCGAAGTATGTTGAACAAACTTGCATTTTTTTTTACGTCTCACCAATCGAAGTGTAATGCGCAATGCCGCCGCATGTTTTTTTGAAAAACGGGGAAAAAAATTACACAGAACTGAATTTGAAGGCATACGATACAGATACAAACGAAAGAAAAAGAAAATCAATGAATTTAAGCTCGACAAGTCAAAGTGAAATTCCACTCTCATACAGGCTGTTTGTATGCAATTGAATCATTCTAAGAAATTAACATTGATATGCATATGTAGATATACAATTGAGATGGGGTTTTGTCATTATTGCTGATTTTTCCAATCTAATGATTTTTCCTATTAGTCGATAATTTATTCACCCTCTTTTTTTTCTCCTTATGATGATGACATATTTATTCAATCTATTTTTTTTTCTTTTCGATTAGGCATTCCGATTCGACAACAGCATTTAATCTACAATCAACATGAGTTGAGTGATGCAACTGAAGTGAAAGATGTGCCATTGTCGCATGGTTCGCGCTTGAAATTGGTGCTCGGCTTTAAAAGCGGTCCTGTCTCGGCACAACGGCGCCTTGTCACATGCAAAATGCCCGATCTTGACACATGGTTCGATCTAAATTCAGCTAGGTAAGACTATTTACTCACTTACAACAGTAAAACAGTAACACTAGATTAACCATTTATTTTCCCATTTTTCTCTATCGATTCGTCATGGCCTACTATTCAATTATTTAAATTGATTTTTTTACTACTATATATTCGTTTTTTTTTTCCATATCCTTCAAGCGATTTTACTTTTGTGTGTCTAGCAAAACCATTTACACAATTTTCATTCTTTCATATTTTTTTCTCTCCTCTCGTTCGTACACAGACAAGATCAATTCACAATATCGTCACCGGGCGTGAAATTACTCGTTTACAAAGACTGCAAAAAGAATGTACATCGTGTGAAATTGCGAACGGATCGTAAAAATTTGAGTAACAATACAAATAACAATAATAATACGAATACAGAGAATGCACTCGATTTGTCGGTCGATGTGGACGATCAATTTCTCAAGGACAATCTCAATACGATGGAGAAAATGCATCAGTTGCGAACACAGTTGGAATTGAAAAAACGTGATAAAGGTTCTAAGCTTTTTAATAAAACGAGCACAAAATCGGTGGCTGGCGATGATATCGATGCCAAAAATCTATTTGCAACGAATCCAATTCATTTCAAATTTAAAGACGAGAATCCAATTAGCAACGAAGATGTTGGCGATGTTGGTGCAATAGCAATAACAACATCCGGATCAGCATGCAAATTGGATGCAAGCACATCGAAAACACCACGAAAATATAGCCGACGAATTTATTTACCCCCATTGAAAGGGTTCATCGAAAATGCAACGAGTTTGAAGAAAAATAGTCGAACCGATACCGATAGCCTTGCACTGACTGATAGTAATGTTTTAAGTAGTAAGCATCAAGCACAAATCCCAAATACCCTTATCAATAAATCAAATCCGAACGAAACGATCCCGTCGTCATTGTCATCGTCGTCGGCTTCGATACGATCGGACGATTCGATTTGGCCAGCCAAAGTGATAAATGAAACACCCAAATCGAAGCGAAAACTCACCAAATCGAATTGGATTCAAAATCTCATCGAAATCATGAAAACGTCCAAAGTGCCACTGTCGCCTGGCGAACTCATCGAAATCAAAGAATCATTTGAAAGTATCAGGGAATCGATGGGCAAAGACAGACCCAATTCACCATCAACTGATAAAATGACCGCCGATAAGCAGTCACCATTCGAAACGATGCTGTCGAATTTCAACAAAGCAACAACAATCACCTCGGAATCCTATCGATCGAAAATTCGCGACAACATTCGACGAAATCGATCATTCAAAGCGGTTGGAAGCAATGATTTAATTATTGAAGAGAATCGGGTATGTTTTCAAATGACTGTGGTCATTTTCAGTGCCTTTTGTTTCTGATTTGAACGGATTTTATACTGAACATATATTCAATTTTCCGAGCGATTTTTATGGAAACTTTTTAAATTTCAGTAGAAAGTGGGCTGATTTTATCCATTGTTTATGCGAAGCTATTTCAGACACAATTTTCTTTTTTCAACTAAAAATATTCAATTTTTACAGCGTTCAAAATACTCTCTAAATCCCGTGAGCAAATCAAAAAGTGGGCATCATTTCAATGCAAACCGATCGATCGATGATCTGCCTGAAAGGGAGTCCGTTTCAAACCGTTCGGGTTCAATGTCATCGCTTCGATCATGCGGCAGCAATAGCGGAGCATCACCAATGATAGATTTAAAATACCCCGTCGAATCGGATAATAATCATAGACTGTACTCAAGGAGAATGAACGCCAACGGTCCAAAGTTCACGAGTAATGGTTTCGAGAATAAATTATACTTTGAAAAACAAAACGGTCATCTGCATCAACCTGGGCCAAGCCGATGTGAGGAAAGAAAGTCATTCTCGAATGAATTCCACAAATTCAAATCGAATCCGAATTCAACGGCCTTTGGCCCGTCAACCGCCAAAGCGATTGCCGATAGCAGCTCATTCCGAGTCTACAAAATGGCAGCTGATGGTAATTCTTCAGATTCAGTTTTTATTTCATGAACCATTTTTCAATACTTCTTTTCGAACAACAATGCATTGATTTTAATTTCAATAATCTTCGTCTTTCAGCCAAAAATTACGAGCTTCCAAAGTTGTTAATACGTGAAGGATCACCAATTGAATCATTCCATTCATCCGATACTCAGCTGGAAACGCTGGCGCTTCGCTGCGATTCACCGAAAAGTGTGATTGCCACCGGCCCGGATAACTGCACCAGTGCAGCGTCAACGGATTCGGTGCAATTGAATACGGTTTTAACGGCAACAGCCGATATTATGGAACCAAGTGCATTGGATGAGTCGGCCGAACTGAATACTCTGTTATATGACCATAGCAACGGTTTAGAAATGAGTTTTCATGATACGGCCACTGATCCAGTGGATGGAACGTCTCTAGTGAGCAACAGCAGTAGTAACAATGGGAGCTGTGAGCTGTTGCACAATTCAAAGTCATCGATTGGTCAAGCCAATGAATTTCGTACGATGTTTGGCAGTAGCCCGTTACTGAATTATAATCCAGTGGCGAACAACTCACGTTGTCTCAATAATATCCCGTTGAAATATCGTCGCGGTTATAGCAATTTGAACGATGCATGTCTGTCGAGCAGTACGTCAAATATCAAAGACATTTTGCGTACAAATCGATGCACGAAAGAGAGTCTACGTACGACAGCTAAATCGACGACGAGCACGAATAATATTGGAACATCGAGTGGAAATAGCATAAGTCAGGAGATATTTTCATTTTTACAGAATCAAAATAATGCTCCAGCTGATTATGTACGCAGTTACGAGAATTTGGATCGTACGAAAATAATTCGCATGAAAAATGACAGCAAACGAATAATGGGCAATACGAATTATGGTTATGCTGAAAGTGAATCGGTGCCAACTACGAGCTACTCAAATCGAAGTCAAATCAGCAGCTCAAGCAGCAATAACTCACAAGATTGGCGCTACGGCAAATCATTTGATGATGAAATGAAGGAAGAGGACGATTCGACTGACTATAGCTACTCAAATTTGGCCTATGATAATGCCGATATGAGTGGACCGCCAACATTCTGGAATACAAGCCAAGAGCAAAAGTATCAATCGGACGATAGTCTATTTAATATTAATTTCGATGCAACCGACGATGAGGTGTTCCAAATTGATTCACTCAACTTGCTAGGTGTGACCGATTCTCCGCAATCCGAACAAAGTTTCTTTGAAGATGAGGCGGCCACCAACACCACAAATCCGACTGAATTGAACAGTGGTCAATCGAAGAGCAAACCAATCGAAAAGAAAGAAAATTCATTAGACTACGGTCTACTAGCTCCTGAAATTCCCAATTTGATGAGCTTAAGCGATGGCAATCTCCTGAAGCTTGATCGAAATCAATTGCAATGCAATACAAATACAATCAGAGCACAACCGAAAAATAAACCACTCGAACTGAGTCAGTCGCGAAATGTTAAAATTGAACCGGTTGGTGATCAACGCGAGAAACTGGCGATGAACAAAGCAATAATCAACCGAAAGCCAACTATTCTGGCTAGTGCTGCGGCAATTGAACCGGTCAAATCACCATCTGCAAATCCACGTTGTGCTGAGTGCAAGAAAAAATTGGGCATCATCATGGTAATGAAATGCCATTGTGAGAAAATATTTTGCGCCAAACATCGCTATGCCGAAGCTCACAATTGTTCGTACGATTTCAAAAAAGAAGGACAAAAATCGATAGCCAAAGAAAATCCACTCGTTGTGGCCAGCAAAGTGACAAAAATTTAAAACTCACTCACAGACAAACACACACTTTCTTAGGGTGTTACAATTTTAGAACTGAACGAGAACTAGTCGTGAGGTTGGACACGTGATGATATGCTTTTGCGGAGAAGCAACAATACAGAGTTGAAGCCACACACAGCGAGAGAGAGAGAGAGAGAGAGAGAGAGAGAGAGAGAGAGAGAGAGAGCGAGAGCAACGTCATGCGAAATTGCTCCAGAATACCAACACATAAATTATTATAACGAATGTGTTTTCTTTTTAATTTAAATTTGAAGAAAAAAATGGATCAATTTAACAATTAACATATTTAGACTAATTTGTTTTCCAAAACAACTAAATAATTTATGTATTTTTTTGTGAAATAAAAAAAATATATTCATGTTATCTTATCAAATGTGAAAATCGATGGGCGCGCACGAAATTCACGCTTGCACTCCACGCCCGCGTTGACTTAAAAAAGATTGCAGAAATTATCCTCTAGCACGTGAGCTCTGGGACGAGCATACTCCGAAACGTGATGATGTGATGCGTGCGTGGCCCATCATTTTGGTGCTTTCACAATTCGGTTGTAAACTCAAATAAGTAAAAACAGAAGAAAAAAATTATTAAATACTTTGTAGCATAGGTTATATAACTAAGCTTTGGTGATTATATTCTTTGAATATTTGAAAAGTTTCAACTTCAAAATGTCGAATGATAATTTTGCGACCGAGAGAAAGGGGGCCGATGGCCATCAGCTAATAATATCTAACACTTGATATTGAATTTCATTCTAATTTAACTAGAAAAAAAAATTATGAAAATGATTTAACACACGCGCGTAAAAAACTTATGATTATTATCATAGATTGGGATTTTTTTCGGTTTTCCATGCAATTGCATAATTTATACAACAAAAAATTGGCAAATTTAAAACATGAAAAAACAGTCTGTAATATTTATGGAAAAACAAATCACATTTAACAAAATTGTTTAGCTTAATGCAAGTGACATTTTTGCAGGAAAAAAAAAGTTTTTATACAGTATTTACTAAATTGAGAAATGAAATTATATAAGTGAAACATAATTATGCTGCTGGATCACGAAATAAAAATGATTACACTGAATAATCTGAAAAATTGACGTTTTTTTTTGCTACGTTCCTCTTTTGATATTTATTTAGGTCTTTTTCTTTGTTTTCTTTTCATCTTCATTTGGAAATTTATAGCAATTTTATGGGTTTATTTTTATAAATTGTTTAATGGAACAAATAAATGTTTCATTTTAAACTTCCGTTTGTTTCACGAATGACTTATATATATATATATATATATACGCCGCATAAAAATAAAAATAGACCATCTGCTTGTTTCTAACGGAAAATTCCATAATAAAAAATGTTTTGAAATGATGGAGAATTGCACAGGTTGCCGTTTTCTGTCACTTTTACTCTGATTTTTTCTGCTACTCAACAACAATCCAACTAATGAAGCGCGCATTGTTTGTATGTGTGTGGAACGTATACATGTTTATGGGATCTCAAAATTCGTTCGATATCACACGATAACTGCGTGCATAATTTCTATTTAGACTATTTTTATAACCATCGTTTGATCGTCATTCACGGTTACAATGTACGCCGTAGGTCGCTCTCGGTTCTTTTTTCGTTTACATCGAATTGCGATGCACGACAGTGACACACAAAGCCGAACAACATCTGAATTATTGGATCAGATGATAACAACAGATTTGTGTCGGCATTCGCCACACATACACATACACATACACACACATGCGCGCACACACTGTATGAAGTGTCACACACTTTGCCACAACAACGCAATGGGCCGCATCTAGTGAAATGGGTGTATTTGTAGGTGTTTGTATATGCGACGCGCGGCGACAGCATCTGACAACAACACACAACACCAATCGAACAAGAAAAATAATAGAACGTACAACGAACAAATATCATAACAACGAATTCTATCAAATCGTTGTGGCCGTGCTTGCATAAAATACGGGTTATTTTTATTTGAAATATTGAAAGGAATCATCATTTGTGCTGTTTGTGTGAAAGCATGCGGTTGCACACATGCTGCGGCTCATAAAATAGTTACATTTCCTTAATAATTTTGCAGTTTCTTATCATTTTGCCGAGAGCTGAATTAATAACGAATACCACAGAAGAGCATCATTCAATTGAAATACACCGCTGTCACAACGTACATCAAACAGCTAACTATTCTGAGAATCGCCTTTGAACAAGCATATATCAACCACCAATAAAGTAAATTAATTTAATTTTTAAAGAATCACTTTTAGTTTAAGCGTAAACTTATAAAACAAAGTCGACGAACTTTGGTTATTAAATGATGATTTTCATTGAATTTCAATTATATATTCTTCTTTAAATCAAGATTAATTCACAAGATTCAGCCATGGAACCAACAAATTTTGATACTTTATTCAACATGGACGGCTACTTGAGACTTCACGAACATGAAATTCGTCGGCGGTGAGTACTAATAATCAATTGATTTATGGTTAATTCGGGAAATCTTATTAGAATTCTATGGTGCTATAAGATATATTGTATGAAATTCCAATTCAAACTGCAAGTGAACATTCAAAATCGAATATTCATGTATTTAGTCGACAAAACATCGCTTGTCAGCTGCATTCTAGTTGTCAAACGAGAGCCGCTACTTTTCAATGTCGATAAAAGGTTAAATGAATCTTAGGCGCGCGCTGTGTACACACAGAGTGTGACGTAGCGCCTTAGCGCGTATGTAATAGTTGTTGTTACGAAAGAAGCAAGAAGAAGGAGAGAGAAGAAAGCGCGCGATATTTGATATAGATTATCAAACCAGGAACCTATTGCTTTACGATAGATTTTCTCCGTGGTTATTGGTAGAAAATAGGGAAAAAAAAAATATAAACCGACCATACGATCACATTACCTCAAATTTAGAGTTAAGTGTTTGAGAAAGGGAGAAAAATTGAAAGTTCTAATCAGCTGCTGAAGGCGATTAGAAGTCAAAAGTTAGCCTGTTGGCTTAATCTCTATCAAAAACCGAAAGATTTGTTTTTAATATTCGGTATTTATATAAATATGTCACGACACATTATTATCAACCAGTTGCATACGTAATCGACCTTAATTGGATTTTCTTCATTTTTATTTTCCAACATCCCAACGAGATTGCTGTTGCAATTTTTCTTCAATTCATTATCTCTTGCTATGTGTGAGATGACGTATCGTTTCATTTATGCCGAAAGAATTGAGATTCCGAAACAAATGACGCGGACACAAATAGGTTTTGATTTCCTTGTTTTGTGTGTCATTGCAATAAATAGGAACAACGTCGTGCGCGAATGGGTCGAACGTATCGAAAAACATGATGGCGGACTTACGGATTTCTCGCAAGCCTACAAATACTATGGATTGCACTTCCAACAAGACAACTCAGTGATTGCACGCGAATGGGCACCCGGTGCCGTCCAACTTTATCTCACCGGCGATTTTAGTAAGGATCTACTGTTTTTCCTATTTTCATTGAACTTTTTGGCCGTTGTTTTTGTTTAGTACTTGGCCGATTGAACTATTTTGTTGATTCTGAATGAATATTTTTTTTTCTTTTTTTTTTTAACATAGACAATTGGCAATGGGAAGCAAACCCATTTACGAAATTGGACTTTGGCAAGTGGGAAATAAAAATCCCGGCCCGTAATGACGGTCAATGTGCCATCAATCACTTATCGGAGGTTAAAGTTATCGTTCGTACGCAATCTGGACAGTTAGTTAGCCGATTATCACCATGGGCAAAGTATGTCGTTCAACCGCCAAAGGAGGCCAATCAAGGCACAAACTACAAGCAAATCGTCTGGAACCCACCACCACATGATGTAAGCACCAATTGCCAGTAATTTGAACCCTAATCACCATTTTTCGGAGCTGACACAAATTTTCATTAGAAGAATAATTCATTTCAAAGGATTTTTTTTCTCTTATTTTTCAAATTAGAAATGTTTATAATTTTTCAAACTTGTATCATTCTTGGCCCTCAAATGGTAATCTTAAAGCCTAAGTAAAATCCTATTTATTTTAACCTTTTTAGAGATTCCACTTCAAGAGCCGTAGACCGAATAGGCCTAAGTCGCTGAAAATTTACGAGTGCCACATTGGTATTGCAACTGAAAGACATGAAGTCGGTTCATATGACAACTTCAGAGAAAATGTTTTGCCACGAATTGTGCGCCAGGGCTACAATGCAATCCAACTTATGGCCATTATGGAGCACGCTTATTATGCCAGTTTTGGTTATCAAGTGACCAGTTTCTATGCAGCTTCAAGTCGTTTTGGCACACCAGATGCACTCAAGAAACTCATCGATGAAGCTCATCGCTTGGGTTTGTTTGTGCTTTTGGATGTGGTACACTCGCATGCCAGTAAAAACGTTGAAGATGGTTTGAATCAATTTGATGGCACCAACAGTTGCTTCTTCCACGATGGTGCAAGAGGTGAACATAGCTTGTGGGACAGTCGTTTGTTCAACTATACCGAATACGAAGTACTTCGATTCTTGTTGTCCAATTTGCGCTGGTGGCACGATGAATACCAATTCGATGGTAAATGCCATTTTTTTATTTTTCAACCGTTTCCGTATTCATTTGATGATAATATTCTGTATCAATAATTTAATTTCTTGTAACCTCCATTCAGGCTATCGTTTCGACGGTGTAACATCGATGTTGTATCACTCACGTGGTATTGGAGAAGGTTTCAGTGGCGATTACAATGAATATTTCGGTTTGAATGTGGACACCGATGCAATTATTTACATGGCCATTTCCAATTATTTGTTGCACAAAATCGACAATCAAATCATCACAATTGCCGAAGATGTGTCTGGTATGCCAGCACTGTGCCGGCCGGTGACCGAAGGTGGTGTTGGATTCGATTATCGTTTGGCTATGGCCATTCCGGACAAATGGATTAAATTGTTGAAAGAAAGTTCCGATGATGATTGGGATATGGCCAATATTGTGCACACTCTTACAAATCGTCGATGGAGAGAGGGCACAGTTTCCTATGCTGAATCACATGATCAGGCATTGGTTGGTGATAAAACACTTGCATTTTGGCTGATGGACAAGGAAATGTATACGCACATGTCAACAATGTCGGATCCATCGTTGATCATTGATCGTGGCATTGCTTTGCACAAAATGATCCGTTTCCTTACGCACGCATTGGGCGGTGAAGCCTATTTGAATTTCATCGGCAATGAATTCGGTCATCCGGAATGGCTTGATTTTCCACGTGTTGGTAACAACGAATCATATCACTATGCACGTCGCCAATGGAGCTTGGTCGACAATGATCTGTTGAAATACAAATACTTGAACAATTTCGATCGTGTGATGAATACAACCGATGAGAAATACCAATGGCTCAGCGCAGATCCAGCCTATGTCAGTTTAAAACATGAAGGTGACAAAGTCATTGCATTCGAACGTGCCGGTTTGTTGTTCGTTTTTAATTTCCATCCAAACAAAAGTTACACTGATTATCGTGTCGGTGTTGAAGTTTCTGGACAATATCAAGTCGTGCTCAGCACTGACGATGCAGAATTTGGTGGCTTCGATCGCATCGACAAAAATATCAAACATTTCACAGATCCACTCGGTTACTGCGGACGCAGAAATTTTGTTCAAGTAAGTGCATATTTCGAAACCAAATTTGGATTGAGAATAAATTCAACCATTATTTTATTCGGAACATTGCTCAATCATTTCATCTTTCTTATTTTCTTTCTATAGATTTACATCCCATCTCGAACTGCTGTTGCTCTAGCCAAAGTCGATTAAATCGCAACACAAAGTGATTCCATACCGACTTCCATTCGTTAATGTTGTTTATAGCTCATTAGATAAAAAACGGAAAAAAAAGAGAAAATATTTTGTAAATCCAAATCATTGTTGAATAAATATTTTGTAATAAAAAAACAAAATTTGAGAAAAAAAAACTCGTTGAACTATGCTAACAATGTTGATGTATGACGAAATTCAATTTGGTGTGCTTGTGTTGCCTTTTCAAATGTCAATAGGACTTTTTCAGTTTGTTTTTGCATGCACACTCATGCACCATTGGATGGATGATTCACACAGTTAAACGGAGCACACGGCATGCGATCAACTATACACTATGTTGCTGCTGCTGTTGTAGTCGTTGTTGTTGAAATAACAGTTTCATCGCAGCCGCATTCAAAGTGTCACACACACTCTATTGCTCAGTTTGTGTTGAGTTCCAGAAGAGTTTACAAGCCGGCGGCCATTGAGATTGACGACAAAACACAGTTTATTACGAGTGCTATTTATTCTCAAAGAAAAACACAGATTATTTTCCGCGACGCAAAAATGGATGCAAAGCAAAAGTTTCAAAGCCAATTTGAACGTCGACGCAAAAAACAAACCAAACTACAAAAAGATGGCGAACATTTGAGCAAAATTACCGAGGCACGTAACATTTTTCTAAAGTCGCAAAAGATTTCGCCACAAGTGTATAACGAACACGAGGTTTATATGACAGTGATTCAGGTAATAATTGTCGAATGTAACAATATTTTTTTATTACACTTAAAATATTGTATTTTGTGTATGTTTCATTTGTTTTGAGATTAAACACTTTAATTGGCTATTACTTTAAATTAATCGATTGTTAATTACAGAAACGGTTTTACGAACTGTGCAAATGTGCACCGTTGACACTTCGTGAATATGTCAACGTAAAAATTCTCAATGGAAATTCACCAAAGGAATTATTTTTGATCCGAGTAAGTTGTGGTTTTGGTTTTTTTCATTGAATGGCTTCGAATTATATGCGGAAGACATGTGCGTTGGACACATTTAAAATAAAAATAATAAAAAAACAAAATGGCCGAGAAGATGTAGAAAATCGGTGTTTCTCGTTTATTCAACAAAATATTCGGTTCGGATCGAGAATTCCGTTTATTATCGAAATTCTATTTCTATAACAAAAATCGGCCGTTTGTTCATTGTTCATAAGAAAAAGTTGGAAACGAGCATTCAAACGAAAACCAAGACAAACACTGCCAAAATTTACCGTAATGCTAAGATAAACATGTTCCAATAAACAAACAAACAAATGCTGTCTTTTGCAGAAAGTAGATGAACAGAAAGCGGAAGAATTTCAACGTGCATTAGCAGTTGAATACACAAACACCGAATATCCATTGGTGTATTGTATGAAGGCTGGTTTGATTTGTGTGGCAAAATCATCAACACACGGATGGCAACGATGCCGAATACTCAAGCTGCACGAGAACAGCACCACCGATGCACTTCTTTTCGATATTGGTATCATTGAACGTGTGGGCTGGAATGACCTACGCATCATCGAAGAAAAGTTCGCGGAAGCAAAACCGTTTGCCATTCGGTGTACGCTCGTCAATGTGTTGACCGCACAACCGATTGAACGCTTCTCTTTACAACACCATCAACATTTTCAGCAAATTGTGAAGGAACAAACCGATTTTTACATCTCTGTCAATCGTGCGAATTTCATGGCATCAGATGTTTTCTTATACTACAAAGTGGACGGTGAATTCCATTGTGTCAACAATATATTCCCAATTCAATCATTGTCGGATGATAGTTCAGTGCAGGAGGAAGATGTTACATCGGAGGCGAATGCGATCGAAAACAGTTCGTCGACAAAGTCAAAAACCAAATCAGAACCAGACCACGTTCAAGAAGATTCAATTCAAACGGCACGTAGCTCATTTGAAACCGAACGATCAGATGAATTGCCACAGAATGCTATGGGCCAACAGCAAAATACGCTTGAACACCTGATCGACACCTGTAAAATTTCACAGCCATGGAATGTTATCGTCAAACATGTGGTTGGAATTGACGAAATTTACGTTTGCTTCGAGAAATATGTCGAAGCATTGAACCGATTGCGTTTTGATGTGCAAACATTTGTCGAGCAGCAGTCGCCAACCGGGCAGAATGCGTGGAAAGTTGGTGATTATTGTTTGGCAATTGATCCAAACGAGGGATCCGGGGAATGGTTCCGTGGGAAAATTATGAAAATTCAAACTCCAGAGAGCTGTATGGTATTTTTACGTGACGTTGGCAAGACCATTGAATGCAAATCGTATAGTTTGAAGGTCATCAGTAAGGATCTTCAATTAGTGCGTGATTTTACCTGGAAAGTGAAGTTGACGGCCGTCAAAATGGTGAAACACTGCACGCCAAGCATGATGAAAGAATTGCTTTGTGAGATGATTGATGCTCATGAGGAGGCAGCGATATCAGCTGTTAGTGACAACAATAGCAATGACTTGGGCGTTATATTATGGGGCATTAAAAGAGAATTTAACGCATTACTGCCGGAGCGGATTGAATTTATGAACATAAACGAATCATTGGTTGAATGGAATGTCGCCACGAGCACCGCATCATTTCATGGCATTAAAAGCATGGTCAATCCATCGCAGGTCACCCAGATTGAAGACGATACAACAAAGTTGCATGACGAGGATAACGAGGATCTTGAAGCCATGAACTTTTCCAATCTTGAAAATCCACGTTTGTTGCCATTGTTCAAAATACAGAAATACCGAATGGTGACAGACAAAACCATGGAAGTGAAATGCTGGCTGCCGTCTGAACGAATCCGTGAAAAGAAATTCGTTGCATTTCCGATGTATGTGAGCCAAAAGTTGATCATTCATGTGCTGGAGGCAAGTCGCAAAACTGTATGCGACGAGATAAGGGAAATGCTCGATAAAAAATATCGGGATAAGCAACTTGAACGAAAAGAATCCATTGAATGGAAGAAGGAAGATGCGTGTTTTGCTCGATACGGTGGAGACTATCGCTTCTATCGTGGCATCGTTCGTCGCGTGAATTACGCAAAAAACACATGTGTAGTTAGTATTCTGAACCTAATTTGGCTGTGCTTAAAGCAAGCCGTTTCTTTTTACATTTTGATCTAATTTTAATTGTATCCCAACGATCTTAGGTTCGATTCATCGACTACGGCAACTGTGAAACATGTCTCCTTGATGATCTAAGAAAGGCGAATTTTTTCGGCGACATCCCAGCACTAACGCGACAATATCAGTTGCACAACATTCAACCAACAACATCGAATGGATTATGGCCAGATCATGTACGAAATTTCTGTTCAATGTTGATTGTCGAACGTCATTGCGATTTGATAGTCATCGATGATAATCAATCGAATGGAGCTGAAGCAACACAAGAAGTGGAAAGTTGTCGTCTGGACCTTTTGACCAAACACAAAGATCTTGCAACGGCACTCATCAAAAACGGCCATGCTCAATTGATCTTCGACGATGATCACGTTTCAATTTGATTGGATTTGTGGCGGGTGCCAACAATCTAAAATCGAATCTCTTTTCTTTTCTTTTCTTTACTTTTCATTATATATTCGTATATATTTTTATTATTTTTTTCAAATAAAACACACCGATATTAGGGAAATGCCTGAATTTGTAATGAAAATGGTTTTATTCATTAAAAAATTGATAAGTTGAACCGGAATTAGGTGGAGGCGACAATCAATTGATGTACACTCAAGGCAATTTGAGCAAAAATAATATGCTGATAATTGAAACGGTAAGAATAATGCAGGATTATCAAATGATAATGATAAAATTGTTGGACGTGAAATGTGAAAAAGTTCATACGCAAAAGCGTCCTTTAAAAAATAGTAATGTTCCAGTCGCTAATTATTTGTGATATACAAAGAACGTCTAGGCAAACTCTGGTAAATTGTCTGCTGTCAAACTTCGTCTCTTTCAACTTTCACATTGACTCATTCGTGTGCAAATTGCTGTTATCGTGAAAGAGATATTGTTCACAATAGACTCAGTTTAGATGTTTTTTTCAAGAGATCTGATCAGTGATTAATATAGCTTAAAAGGAGTTGGCCACGAGACTTAAAAGCCACCCGCCGTCAGTCTGTAACACATCAGGTTGTTTAAAAATGTACATTGTACATTGTACAAGTTAGGAAAGGTGTAGCCGCTTGGAGGACATGCCACATGACATTTGGAATTGGTTCAGGGGCTGTGAAGCTATTCATAGGCATAGAAATGAATTTAATCAGAAAGGAGAGTTTCTATTTACCAGTGGTAAAGGTTAGTAGCTCGTTCAAATTAATGCTCCCAAGGGACGCTGCAATTGTAAACTAGACTCTTATCTGAGTACTTTTGATTAATTGATGACTAAAATCCCGAAAACGATCAGACTTTTTAAAATTCTGTTTATTATGAAAATTTTATAAAGAAAACAAAGCTGAACATTTTTTTAAAAATAAAAACTTGTTTTTGTGTCTGTTCTGTATGTGTTTTTTTTTTCTCTTCTAAAACCCATCTAGAAATGACCGTATAGGCTCCTGTCTGATTCATTAAATCATTTAGTGGCCTTCGTTCATATATTTATTTATTTATCAAGTCCATATTAAATCATTCACTTAAAATCTAAATACATGTTTCTTCTTTTTGGATTCGATTTTTTTTTCATAGTTATAGCTTATCGCAAGTAAGATTTGGCTATTCATTTTATGGCTTTAAATCATTCCAAAACCTTTGGAGTAATTTATGGCTTTTAGTAGTCGTTCTTCGAGTTTCTCCCTTGTTTTGTATTCGGGTAGCAAGAGCACGTTGTAACACGTATGACTGGTTGGTAATCGATCGGTGTTTTCGCTGTCCGAACCATTTCGAGCTATTACGAGTTTTAGCCGTGACATTCCACCCACTGGCACTCTGTCTGACCCTGTATATCAAACAACAACATTCATAATTATTCACATTTATTTCTTAAAAAATATCCCAAGAATCTAACAATTAAATCAAATTTTAGTTCTTTTCATCTCTTACCAGTTGTAAATTCTAGTAATTTTTTCTTCGATTCCAGTGAAAGGCCGTGAACAATATCCCAAAAGTCAATGATAATCTGGGATTTTTCCGTGTAACCACCTTCATATTCGGTTGCCTTCTCCAATTCATTGAAGTCGAATTCCTATTAGAAAAAAAAAACGCGAAAATTATTTATTATTAATAATTATAGATTTTTTTTTGTTCGGAACAATAAAGAAACAAGCAATTTCAAAAAGTATGGATAGGGGCAAATCACTCTAAAGTAATTTGTAATAGAGAAAGTAATCGAGAAAGTAATTTACGTGTAAAAATCTCGATTACTTTCTTTATTACAAATGATTTTAGAGTGATTTGCCCCTCGTATTCAACACTTACTTTGCTACCACACACCAACAATTCGACCTCTTCTGGTCTGAATAGCAAATGAAGCGGTGATTCGTCTGTCACCATTTGGAATCCACGTCGGAAAGCACGGAATTTCTTTTCGATACTTGTATTTAGCAAATAATCGGTGTACAAATCAACAAATTCCTATAAATAAATCCAAAAATTGTTGTTAAAATTTTCCATGATGACATTCGTCAATGGGAATTGTGTTTACTTGCCTGTTTGTTGGTTTGATTAACGTAGATTGTATCACCATTTTCTTTGAGGTCATGCATCACAATATTACCAAAAACGTCTTGATAGCTTATTTGAAATGTTTGCATAAAAACGTCTTCAATATCATCGCCATCGTAGTCTAAAATATCTTGCAGACTTTTGTATAACACGGGATTCCAATCGGCCAAATCAGTAAACGATCCTTTGATGCCCATGAGCTTTCGATAGACAACCATTGGAAAATTAACCGCTAAAATTATGTTGTTGTAGATGGCTAGACCAAGCACGATGCCAATCAGTGTGAATTGTGCTTCATTTTCGAAGGACGTTGAATTGAACCAAACGGTTCGTGTCTCTTGCTGTATGAACATCCCGTAGTCTGGATTGAAAATCTCTTCCACAATCATTTGGAAGAATTCTTTTGAAACGCCACCCTCATCAATTCCCTGTTCGCCCACAAACTCAACGACAAGCTGCTTTTTCAAATCTTTTGGATTGCCCATAGCAACAATTTCCAATTCGACCAGCGCATCATCAATAATATGATCACGTCGCACTTTCAACTTAAGATATGGATTCGAGGGTTGACCCGCCAATTGAGTATGAAAACTATTGAAACGTCGCTCATTGTACATTCGAATACGGCAGTCATAGTACAAACCCAGCGTCTTTGTAGCTGGCGTTAAAATAAATGAGTATAACATAAACGAGAATCTTTTATCTGTGGAAAATAACAGAAAATGAAATGATTAAGAAAATAAAATAGAAAAATGCTTGAACAATGAGAACCTACCACCTTGACGATTCTTATAATATAAATAGTCGTTGTCCATTTCGATTGCGTCGCTTAGAGGCTCGTTGTAGAATTCTTCGAATGGAATATACGGTTTTCGACAATCGAGCACGTTCACTTGCAGCTCTTCAGCCAATGCATCCGTAAAATCGGCACTCGACGACTTCTTCGATCCGGAATAAATTAGCAACGAATCATCTTCAAGCATCGATTCCGAATCAGCATCTTCTTCACGAAGCTTTGACGAATCTAATTTACCCGCTAATATACTTGCGTAGTAGACAATCTGAAATAGAACAATGAATTGAGGAATGATGATGAATGATGTTGAAAATATATTCTAAAACATTGAAAATTTTGAACGTTTTTTTTTTTTTTCAAAGAAAAAAGCCTCAGGAAGTCTTGTTTTTTTTTTCTTCATTGAAGTAATGCCAAAAATAAAACATGCATTTCCTGAAGCTTTTGAGCGTGGGCCCGATTTTCTTAATTCAAAACATTCTATCAAATATACTCTGCGTATTGTTCCACTGACCTTCATGAGTTTTGTGGCGTTAATGATGTGTTCGTTGTCTTGAATGAATCTGTTCTCATGATAAGTACCGGTGATGACTTGCAAGCTTATTAGTTGTTGAATCGTTTCGAGAAGCTTTCGAAGTCCGTCTTTGCAATGATGTGCCCAAATGCAAGCGAGTCGCGCTTGTGCCCAAATTGGTAAATAAGAAGCTGCCTTGCAAACCGTTGGCAACGCTACATCGACAAAATCTGATTTGCCAATGATGATAATTTCAAAAATGATCACAAAAACGGTAATAATTTCTTCAATCTTCTCGCGTTGGGTCAACATTCGCAAATCAACGCTTATACTGAGCGCCAAACTTTGCAGAGCATTATTAAGGGAATCGAATGCGCTAGCCTTTGTTTCGAGCAAATGGGTCATGGAGCGACGCAAACTTTTCAAATCAACACTGGTGTTGTGAAGCCGTGTTGTATCATTTTTTCCATTACCACTAGACAATTCATCATCTTCTGATGTGACACCGCTCTCATCCTTATCTTTGTCCAAATCACCTTCGAGCGCTCGAAACTCTTCTTTTGTTTGATGTTTTAGATTTCGAGCCGTGGCTTTCGGTATCAATTTACTGATATGTTGACAAGCGGATGTATGTCGTTTTTGAAAACTTTGAACCAAATATTCGCGCGACGAAAAGTATCGGCCCAAATTTCGAATCAGTGGCGCAAACGTGTTATTTTTTTTACAGTAGTCAATCAATTGGTTGAGCACTTGCTCATCCATGTATGGAAGCGTTTCAAGGGCTAATTGGGTACGACGATTCATTTTCGTTGTTGTAGCTGTTGATGCATTTGACGACGACAAAAGCGGCTGTGATTGATTGCACGATACACTATTTGGTATTTCCACTGATGAATTCAATAGATTGACACTGATATTATCCTGATTCTCCTTCTGAACGGTCGATTCACTGTCAATAAGAAATAAAATAAACGGTCAGTTTAGGCTAGATACACCTACATTGAGATTAGTATGGTATTCGTATAATATCAATGAAAATAAAGTAATTAACATATATTGAAATAAAGTGTTAATGAAAATGTTGCTATGACAGATGTTATTGGAAAAAAAATTATTCAAGACAAACGATGATGGAAAACGAAGTTCTTTTCAAAATGATCTTCGAACAAATGAATATAGTTCCCACATAAAAAGTATTAGTTCAAAGCAAAATGACTAAATTTTCATAACAAACACGCTTCATGTGAGTAAAAGTAATTTAAACGAAAATTAAAAAACACATTCAACTACATTATGGAAGGAAACTTTAAGCCCAACATTGAATTGTAATGGATTTTTCTCTGGAAGGGAGTGAGGATCACCTGTAGTTATCTTCATTAATACACCCGATGGTTTCTGCATTGGCAATGCTGGATTGTGTGGCTGAGTCAGTTTCATCTGAGATGCGAGCGGTTTTATTTGCGGGAAAATCACAGAATTTTGCATCTTCCGAAAAAAGTTGTATGGCACGAGCGGCTGCTTGATTTGGCGTCAGCTTTGCAAATTGGCCACTTGATGCGCAATTTTTATTCAAACAATGTGGATTGCCGCATCCCGATGACAGCTGGTAAAAATATCGTTCGATCAATTGTTTGGCATGTGCACGTTTCATATCGTCAATTTCATTCACAGCCGCCGACTGACGTTCAACGGTCGAACTGGACGCGCTCGAATCGCACTTTGTGACTTGATCAGCTGTTTTGGTTGTATTCACGTTTTGACCTTGTTCAATAGTGTTATTGTTGTTTGTATTGATTTTATCTTTGTTACTACAATTATCGTCACTGTTCACTTTTTCCAATGGAAAGCATTCACTAGCATCTGGCTGCTCTGGATTCGATGATTCAGATACAATTTGCTCTTGTGACGACGATCCTTCAGATGATCTATAAATGAAAAAATCAAGAGAACAAGAAAAAAAAGAACATCGCCTTTGTATGATTACGCGCGTACCAGTATTTAAGTACGTAAAATAAAAGAAATCAGCACATAGTTTGCCCACGACGCGTCCAATGACTTTCCTAACGACCCAGCTTGTTTTATTGTTTTAGACAACGCCGAAGAAAGGAGAAACGAAGAAAAAAAATGAATAAATATAAACAAAGAACATGACGAATGCGCACGGGTTTACATGGCTCACCATAAAAACGGTATACGGTCTTATCTTAATTTACAACAGTCAGCTGTGTCTCGCTGGCTCAACGAGTCGCTGCTCCTGTCAAAATGAAGCGTTACAGTTAAGCGTTGGCAGACATGCGAAATTATTCATGCTGAATGAATTTAGTTTTAAGTGAAATCCACACCGTTGCTACAAGAGCATATACCACTAGCGACACCTTGTGGCACCGATAGCAAAATCCTGTGTGTTACCATGTATTTTTCAACACATTACAATCGGTGCGACCAGGATCGCCTGTGGTATATTACTGTTGCAGCAACATTTAGGTAAAATCTTTTCAAGCATTTACCAAAATACTGTTCTTCCACTTACATGGCCTGTGAATTCACCAACAGTTTTGTCTTTTTCTCTCAAAAATTTGTGTTAAGATCGAATTGCGTATAAATTGAAGGAAAACCTAATATATCTTCAGATTTTAAAAGCAAATTCGCGCGCACATTCACAAATATAAACAACAACGATAAAAATTATTATTTTTATTTTGTTTGCGTTTTTATTTCACAGCGCAATATTTCTTGTTAAATTATTCTGTTTGCACACTTGGATCGTTTACAATTGACTCTGCACGAAAAATTGGGAAGCTTCAGCTCAATTGCAACAAAATATTGTGTGTTCATTGGAGCAGATTTGGAATAAGACTGGCGTCGCTTACCACGTTAAACTAATGCAAAACATCTGAGAACAGCGCTGATCCTTTGAAATACACGACGCTTAGCGTTATGGGCTTTTGTGTGCGTGCAAACAAATGAATAATATAAACAAGAACATTTGCTTTTTGCAAAGAAAATGAATACAACAACAAAAATAAAAGTGTAATATTCATGTCTCGCATTTTCCGTTTCACATTTTCTCACAGAACAAACGACGAATTGTGCGATTTAACAAAAACCAAAAACGCACACAAACAAAAATTGCGAAGATAAAATGTGTTTGCAAAGGCAGAGAAAAATCGACATATCGTTGTGTCGCATTTAAAAAAAAACAATGACACCAAAAAAGAAATTCACAGGAAACCAAACGATGATAAAGAAAATTCATTTCTATGTGGAAAATGCGGTTTGCAACGAAAAAAAAGATGAGAGATGGTATTGCACATGTTCCACATCTCGGTGAAACAATGAATCCTAAAAATAAGCAAAGCAACTGAAAAAAGTCATTGCTTTCTCCGTTTTGAGAGAGAGAGAGAGAATGTGAGTACATTGATTTCTGACTGTGTATCGATTCAAAATGAAAGTGTTGCCATACAATCGGGAGGGTACAAACGAGAAGTGCCAACTGGTCAATTTTGAAATAGCGCTGTTTTCTCTCTCATTCGCCTTTGGTCTAGATCATTTTCGATTGGATTCAAAAAACCTTCATGCAATTCGCATGATGCATGCAAAACATTTTATGCACGCAACAAGGTGAACACATTGAGGTGACTTTGGCAAAGACGATAATAAATATTGAGAGCAACGCAACCGCTGAGCATTTCAATTGCAAGCTTTTAAATTATGAGCTTTCTATTGGTCCAAATTATATTTTTCACTCAAGTAGCAACGAACGTGCCAAGCTGGTAACCGAAGCCATGTCACTGAACTCGTCTTCGAATTAAATGTGTTAGTAAGTAACAATGCATCGAAGTTTCTTGAATGTTATCTTTTTTGTGTGTTGCTGCTGAGTGGCCAATGACAATAAGCGAGAGCACGGATGTACGTGTATGTGTGTGCTTCACGTTGAAATGAGCCATTTTTCCACGTGGTAACCCATTTCATCAAGAAACCAAATTACGTTTATGAGTTTTGTCAACAAGCGAACATTCTAGCATAATGTGAAAAGCCTTCAAAAATGTCCTATCTGGGCAAAGCGTGTGCTGATTTCTCTGTTTCGCAAAAACTGAAAGTCAAAGTTGAAATATATGAATTGCGTGTCATCTCTCAATCGTCACCCCCTCAAAAAAAAAATCGATTGAAATAAATCCTTCGATGAATCAATATGAAAGTTTGGAATTGACAATGAATGGAAATCTTTGGAAATTTTGCGCGAAGAATAAAGAAAATCATCAAAATTTGATGAAAAGAAGAAGCGGCTTCCGTAAATTATCTGTGTTTTCTTTCTTCGTTTCGACTTTGTGTATTACGCCGTGCGCTTTCGAACATCGGCATCGAGCAAATCCGATACTCAAACGTACTCAGTCATTTGCGCCGAGTCAAAGCCAAAATCAAAGTGTATCTATTTTTAGACGCATCGTTTTATATATTGTTCATTTTCTTCTCACTTTTACTTCGAAACATACTAGACGAGCAAATGAAATGACGAAAGAAAAAAACGAAACGTCGTGTGTCGAAATAATAAACAACAAAAATGTCAGCCGAGATATGAATTTGTGCAAATTAATGCTGGACGACCGCCGGGGCGCGGATGGGGTGCGAGAGAGATAAACACGACAGTTTTACAAAGAGAAAATTTTGTATCAGAATCCTTACCTTGAAGTTTCGCCGTCTGATTTATTATTTTGTTCCGAAGTCATAGATTCGACTCAGTTCCTGAACAAGATGCAATTTTGTATATTTATCACGCGTTGTCCCCTCTCGCTGTGTTGTTCACTCACAGTGACTCAGTATGTCGTTGTTGTTGCTGTCGTCTTCGTCGTCGTCGTCTATCGCTGTAAAATGTACACAAAAATTGTTGGAGCCCAAATTGCAGTTTTGCAATCGCTTAGTTGCGGTTAGTTTTATGTTTGTAGTTGACTGAACACAATATATTTGTTGTGGTCGTGTAATGATATCACGATATGTGTGCAGCTGCGTGTATTGGGATGATAACTGATAACAAACGATATGGAGTTTTATGGCAGCTAAACAAATAAATTCATTGTTACTCGTGGTAATATACGTGGTTTTGTCACGTTGCGTTTTTTTTTTCTCTCTACAAATGTTCAATACCAACTATTCAATCGACTTTTTCGGTCGATGCAATCAATGTGATGGTGACAATTTTCGCCACTCAATAGTACGACGCGAACTATTCGCCTCTTCACTCAATTCAAAACAATAGAGCATTACACCAAACACACTACCTCGTTTTTAATTTTATTATTATTATGTCAGTTTCCTTTTGTTCCCATTGAATATGTTGAGAAAAAAAAAATAGACACGCACACATGAAATCAAATCAATTGCAACACATTCGATGAACCAACGTATAGCCTATTAAAATGCATGTGCCGATTTATTCGTCGATTTTGTTTTTGTTGTTCACTTTGTATTTTGTTTGTTTGTTTTTTCGCCTATAATTGCGCGTCGCTGTTGATAAAATTCCCAATAAATAATAATATGAAGTAGTGGTGGTTTGCTAGAATCAATTCTCACCCATCACAAGTTACGAAAAACCAAAGAGAAATTTTTTTTAAAGGAAACTCAATTCGTATTCATTATTGTTGTTATTGGTATAGTACATCTGAGTCTTTCTTTATTGTGTCATAATTTTTCGAGTTCATTCACTTGGTTCGAATCGATTTCGACACTTTGTGTAATTTCATTGCAATTTTTCTTTATTGTTGGTCACAAACATTTCAATTTCTTCTTCTTTCGCTTTGATATCACACAAAAATGAACACATTTATGTCCGTTCTATTTATCGTAAAAACTACCTAAGTGGACGAGGTGAAAAATTAATTCGTGCATTTACTATACGGAAAGAATGAAATAATCGATGCAAAATCAAAACCGAATGCAATGCGAGATTTTCCGCCGAACCGAAAACACAAAGTCCGAAACAAAAACAAACGAAAAACTGTGTTGTCCTTGTGCGCGATGACCACCGAGAAAAAAAAAAGTTGTTTCCAATTCCGAGGATCCCCGTCTTTTTCTGTGTATCTCTCGTCGCAATCAAACCAACAACAACAAAAAAATAATTAAAAACACAAAAAAGCAAAACAACTAATATTCAATATCTATTTAAATTTCAAAAAACCTAGTACAAATTTCGAGTGAAATGATTTTGTAACAAATTCAACAAAAAGAAAAAACAATTTCATCGCAACTACGAATAAAAATGAACGAAAACAAAATTGTATGAAAGGCCGAATAGAAAAACTTCGTCGAATTGTTGGTTTTGCATATGTTGATTTCGTTTTGACTTGCGATGTGTGCTGTGTGAATGTTTTGTTTATGTGTGTGCGCGCGAGAGAGAGACACGGAGAGAGGTAGAGAGTGAGTGTGTACCTCTCTGAATTCAATTCAATTCGATTCAATCAAGTCGGCTTTCGATCCACTACGAGTAATCATATTCTTTGTCTGATGTATGGCAGTATGTTTACCACTTGTGTGTACCAACTTTGACAGTTGCACGCATTTCTTTTTTGACAGAAGCATCTCGCCCATACAATATATGCATTGACCATTAAAAGTTGAAGTCTTTCTCTCTCTCTCTCTCTCTCTCTCCGTCTCTGGTGATGGTTGGCGTAAATCACAACATTTACTTTTCAAATGAATTATTCCACGAAGGTTATAGAACTTCAACCATTAAACAAAACAAGCAATATGCAATTTTTCCCCTGAAAACAGTCTTTTCCGCAAATTCTTGCTTTTAGTATGTTCGAAGAATTAGAACAAAAAATAACATGGAAACGTATAAAGCCATTTGGTGAATACACTCAGTACTGATTTATTCAGACTTTGGGAATTATTTGCATGACGTCAATGCCTATATGCGGTAATTCTTGAAAATGTCGCCAACGTAATGTCTTCATTATTATGGATTCTCTGACATTGTTTTCGCTTGGCTTCCACAATGGTTTGTCATTGCTGTGATGAGCCTTTCAAATGAAATCCAACCGGACAAATGACATTATTCAATCGTATTCTTTCAATTGATATTCATTCAAAAAAAAATTTCAAGCTCTCTCTATTTAAGATTCTAGTTTCATTCTAAATTGAACAAAGTCCAATTAAGAAGAATTTAGGAAAATTCGAAACAATTAAAAATTTTAAAGAACAAATCATGCATGAATAAAATCCAAAGTTTGTAAAAGGTAGTAAACAAAAATTCACCTAGAATATTCAACTGTCGATTGAATTTAACATGACACATTGGTCTGAAGTTGCATCAAATCGAACTTACTAGAGATTAAGTATATAGTCGGAATAGTGTGGCGACGTGTATGTGTGTATGGGTAGATGTGCATGGCGTGTGTATGTGTATGTCTGTGTGAGTCTGTGTATGAATGTATTGAAAAGTCAGCGCCTGAGCAGTTGAGTTTGACATTCTAGCAGCGCCTATGACACATTCGCTTCAAAATTCAATTTTTGTTTTTCGCGTAGATTCATTACAGTTTTGCAACATACACATAATATACGCTCCTCATCAAGTGTTCCCACCAATAATTACGCAGATAAGTAATATTCCGATAGAGTATTTGAAACGTGCAGTGTACCACTTGACACAACAAAATCAAAGAGGAATCAATTGTCGCAGATCGTGTTATTTGGTTTCATCTTCATTGTAACAAAATTGTCGATTGTAGCATTATTTATGGTGGAATATTATGCGAGTTTTCATTTAAATTGTACGATTGGTTGCGGCTCTATTTAAAGAACCAAATGTTTGGATCATGGAACAGTATCATATTGAAGTGTTAGTATCGGGCGATATCGCCAAATCAAAGGAGGTTTTACAACGGTTTGTGGCACAGGTAAACCAAAATCATCGTTAATAATTTTGCCTTCTCTTTTTTTCTCGGAAATCAACGCCCAAAAATTCATTCACACAATTTTGTTAAATAATTGTGTTCTCTTTCGCCCTCTCTGTCTTTATCTGTGTTGTGTGTTTTGCATAGCATTCGGATACATTTGATTTCACTGCAATGTATGGCCAATGGACCACCATTTGGAATGGAATATTCAAATTTTTACGAATGCCAAATGAAAGACGCGCGGAAGCGTTGCATATTTATCCAGATTGTTTGGCCACCATCCGAATTATGTCACGTGATAAAACGCATTTGAATCAAACAATAACCGTCGACCAATTCAACACACTGCTTAATATTGCCAACATTGGCAGCCACAATGAAAACATTACCGATTCGGCCATCGTCGTCGAGGCACTCAAATGCTTATGCAATTTGGTGTACCAAAGCACCAACTGCCAAATGATGTGCTTGAAAAATGCGGCCATCGATGGCATCGTACGTCGATTGAGAACCTACAAGTATGTTTGAGCTTTAGTACGGTTTGAGAAAAAAAAAATTTACTTTCTATGTTCATTGATACGTTTCGATCGATCGTAACATTCATATTGATTTGATTGTGTTTTCTTTTGCTACAGAGATGCCAATGTCCCATATGACTTACAGTATTTCGATATGAAATTGTTATTCTTGATAACGGCTCTGAACCCCGATGTCCGAACCAAAGTTCGTGATGATTATCATGGCCTGACTTATCTGGTGGAAATTCTCGATTTAATCATTAAAGAACGATCCGACCCACAAAATGGACACCACGAACTCAACGACAGTCAAGTAAATTTATTGATTGAAATTATGAAGGTGCTATTCAATGTCACGGTTCGCAATGAAACATCGGTTGCCACCGAAGAAGAGGAGGAAATTCAATTCCGTCGACTGGCTGTTGTGTTACATGATTTGTTGCTGTGTCGAGCGGTGTCGAAGGAAAAACAACTCGAATTGTGCTCGAACACAATTAATTTGCTTACAAATGTGCCAACCGCTTGCTATTCCGAGCTTGTCATTCCGATGCATTTGGACAGCGATTCATCGACATCATTCGCATCGGCTGCCAATCTGAATAACATCCATTTATTCGATGGACACGATGTCACTGCAATCGAAATACTGTTGGAATTTCTTAAATGCCGACTGGAAAATGTTCAAGTGAGTGTAAATAAGTCGTGTTCAATTGAAATTAAATTGCCAGCTAATGATGATTGAAAATTTGGTTGTGAAAAAGGCTAAACTGTAAATCTTTTTTTTTTTCTTCAGAAATTATCCGTTCAACAAGAGCTTCTGTCACCCGTGCTAACAGCTTTGGTGAAATGTGCACGCTGTAATTCATTGCAACGGCGATATCTTCGGCAACAAGTATTACCGCCGTTACGTGACGTTAAAACACGTCCCGAAGTTGGTGATCAGCTGCGGAATCGCTTGGTCAAATTGTTGACGTCACCAGCGACACAAGTGCGAGACCTTGTCGCCGATTTTTTGTTTGTGCTCTGCAAAGAGAACGGTAATTATTTGTGGAGTTATCAATTTTATAAATTCGTTAAAAATGAATCGTTTCCATTTTCAGTTGGTCGAATGATTAAGTACACTGGATATGGGAATGCAGCTGGTTTGTTTGCCAATCGAGGCTTATTACCGGTGCGCAGTGCAAACAGTTATTCGAGTGAATATTCGTCAAATAGTGAAGACAGTGACACCGAAGAGTATAGGCAATTGCAGCACGGTATCAATCCCGTGGTTGGATGCTATGAGCCGCCACGTCCAAATCCACTCGACGGTATGTCAGATGAGCAAAAAGAGTATGAAGCCATGAAACTAGTCAATCTAATGGACCAATTGAATCGGCAAGGGCTTGTGCAACCATGTAAAATTGGTGAAGACGGACGACCGCAGCCCGTCGGACATATCCTGGAGCTACAAGATAACATACCACAACAGCAAATGGACCAATCACAAAAATAAAGCATTTACTATCTTCTCTATTCCAAAATGCATCAGTCAACGAGAGCGTGAGTTTACCTTGTCACACTTCTAATTCGACGCGTCCAGTGTGTATATCATCAGAAAATTGACAAGAACAGTCAGGCAGAAGTAATTGAATAAACTCATTCCAATTTCTGATTACACAAATATGTGCAGGCAATGGAGCAAACACACCAATCGACCGACCGAACGAAACAAAAACGATATGATCAGAGAGGGAGAGAGAAAGAGAAAGAGAAAGAGAAAGAGAAAGAGAAAGAGAGAGGTCGAGAAGGACAACAGAGCAGAAAAATGATTTAAATGAAAATGGAAACATGAAGTGAAAGAGAGATGGAGAGGTGGAGAAAGTTGAAATGAAAATCCAATTAAAAGTGTGTTTGTGTAAATGTCGTCGTTTGCACATACGGCATCGATGTGATTTATGCGGATTCATTATTCAAACAAAAGACCTTTAGCTGAATAACATTTTCAACAACAAACACCGAACCGATGAAGAAAAAAACGGTAGAAAAAGAACCAACTACATAATTCGATGCTTTCATCACTCACACGCTCCGCAAAAGCATCAACATTGAACAATATTCACCGAAAACAAATCAATGACAATTCAAACAGCAGCTTAAAACCAACCATTTTTATACTTAGACTTGTCGTCGATAAAATATTCATGTGAGAAGGAAAGGCGTGTGTTAACTCTGTACTTTTGCTGCTGTTGTTGGCTTTGATGCACCTACAGAGTTTATACCTCTCTTTCTCTCTCTCTCTCTCTCTATCTCTGTCACAACCAAAGAAATCCACTTTTGTTTGATTAATGTACAATTTGAAGCGAAATGCAACCACTTTTCATATACTTATACACACACATACATTCGAATGTCCATACATTGGCAACTCGCCGCATTCGTACTTCCATTTAACTTAATCAGATCCAATTCAATGGAACGGAGAGTGTGAGGATGTTACATTTCTGAATAATTACCAACATTTGCTTAGTAACAATTAATTTGCTCGATATAAAACAGTATTCTGCTCGATATAAAACAGTAAGGCTCTACGCGCGACTGCAGTCTCACCGCTACAAGTTTATCAGACGTGCATTTGTTGCCCATAGAAATTACAATGGAATAATGGACTGGATTTTGTAGAAACAAAGAATATTGATTTTTTTTATGCTGGTCCACCCACATCAAATATCGCAATCATAGATAACAAAACATTTAATAGATAACAAAATATAAAAATAACCAACATTGATTTAAACAACATGAAAATGGCCAAAGCAATCCGCATTTTCATAAACACTAACAACATATTCTTCGAATGCACTCTTCTTCCAACCGGTTTTAACCGAAAAGACTCGTTCGTTTTTTTTTAAAGACCATTGCAAATTTTGTCATAAAAATTAAAGGGCTAGCATATCCGCCAGGTATCGTTTCAGTCGGTTGATATTGAACCAAGAACACAAGTTCTCAGCGCTTTCAGCGCTTCAAACAAAACCGTTATGAATCTGACTTTTTTCAAAACAAAATAATCCAAAAATATTTTATAATAAAAAAAATGTAGAAAGAAGTAGTAAATTCAATTTTTCAACACACAGTTTATAAAAAATATTTTATTTGCACCAATAAAACTTAGGAAAACTACAATTATTTCACTGCAAACGATTCCCACTTGAAATTTGAAACAACAACACACTTGTCACTTGTCAATATGGCGAATGTTGTAACGGATTTTCGTTAGATGTCGCTTTTAGTTTCGAAGTTTCAAACTTCAAATGGGAATCGTTTGCAGTAGAATAATTGTTGTTTTTCTAAGTTTTATTGATGCAAATATTTTTTTTTTTATAAACTGTGTGTTGAGAAATTAAATTTACAATTTTATTTTACCTTTTTTTTATTCGAAGATGTTTTTTTTTTATTGAAAAAAAGTCAGATTCATAACGGATTCGTTTGCGGCGATTGTAGCAATTCAAGCGGCATATGAACACTACTAAAGCGACCTTTTAAATTTTATGACAAATTTCATGGTTCATATTGCAAACGTATTTGCCAATTAGACTAATTGATAGACTATTAGTAAATTAACAAAAAAAAAAAATATTATACGCAATTTGTAATATGTTGCTGAATATAATGCAATTTTCCTCGAATCTCTCAATGAAATCAATGCATTTATATTTGAAACAAAAGATACATTATATAGACAATTGGCATTTAAGTCAGATTGTTGGACTTAAATGATATATTCAATCATATGAAATAGAAGTAAATTCCCGACAGAAACTATTTTAGAACACGTTTGAGAAACACAAAAAAAAAGAGAAAAAAAAATATTACCGACGGATCACCAGCATTTGTTAACATCAATAGAATCAAAACGAACATTAGTGTTCAGTCAAAGCATATCCAACGGTGTTTTTGATGCAAAAAATCCAAAAATAAAATATTATGCCATTTTATTAACGACTTAATCCGTCGACCAACTTTATTCATTTCAAGCAATCAGTTTATATAGAAAATCGAGAAAGAGAGTGAGAGAAAAAATGTTAAATACTTAACGATTTCCATTTTTTCATTCACATAAATAGTTGAATATGTAGCATCACCACCACCACAAATCACATCATACCCCAAATGCACAATTTTGCACCCCCTCTTTTGAAAACGTTTGATTCAACATTTTTTGCTCAATAAATTCATTCAGTAAATAAGTTCCAAATGATCTGCTTTTTATTTCGTGTTTATTTTACTTCAATTTATCGGATTGTAATCGATGATGCTTTTGTGTGTTGGCACCATCAAACCCATGAAAGATGACCTATATAACACTATATGGACTAATGGTGTTGAACGTTTTTAAGGGTTCAAATTGAATCCATTTGGACTTAAACGAACAAAAACATCAAAACACAGATTGGGTTTCATATTCCACACACATTTTGACTTCTGAGCCGAAAATAAATGAAAAATTTTGAAATATGAAGAACATCTATTAGGATTTAAATTTTCTTTGATTTTTTTTTTTTCAATTTTTCTTATTAATATTGATTTAACTAATTCCATATTGTTTGCGAAAATTCCTAAAAATTGCAAATTGAATGAAATACAAATGCATGAAACGGTTCTAAGGATAAAAAGGATAATTTTTCTTTGTACCGAAATTGATTTTGACCAATCGCAAGAATTGGTAATCGCAAAGTAGTTTACGGTACATTTGTTTGTGTGTGAGTGTGTTTTTTGTATCGAGTGTTGTTTTTTCTTTTCGTGTGTCTCATCTCAATTCGTACATTGGCGTGTGAATTTGTCATCGTGTAGCTGATTTTCCCGTCGATAAATTAGTCATGATTGCTGATGATGGGCAGTAACAGTACCCGAAATGCATTCAGGTTTTTTATCAATTTATTATCAATAATTTAATCCGGCTCTTGTAGTGTAAATAAGGTAAAAAAATTCGGCATTCAATAGAGTGTATTGAAGTGAATGTTGTTGGACACTACGCAGTTTAACTAAGAAATTAACAATTGTTTCTTTCGTTCGATTTGAATCGCAAGAAATTCGGCATTAAGGCTAATTTCGCTTAAGGCTTAGATAGACATTTAGAATGATAATTATATTTTTTTTTGCTTCCGCAGAACTGATGAATAACAAAGTGTCTGCTCATTTTTTATTCTCTTTACTATTTGCAAGCATATCACGAATCTGCTGTACAAGCCACTGAATTCCATCTTGTAGGCCTTCTCCAGACAATGCATTACTTGAGCTGATATGCCAAGGTTTGTCCTTCAATTTTTCTAAGCCCAACGCTATAGCCACGTATAATGCATATGAAAATAGAAATAAGAAAAAAAGAAAGAGCATACAAAATGAATGCTAATCGTCTTAGAAACCGTAGAAAGTAAAAGTGGAGTTTTGTCTTTCTAGGACCCCCCACCTGCAGCTATTTTAACGCTTGACAACGAATCGGGACAGTCGATTTTGTTTGCAAAGAACAGTATCGGTATTCGACGGTTTTGAATGTCGGGATGTTTGATTAAAATATCCAATTCGTCCTTCACAACCACTGTGAAAAAATATAAAATTGGGAAAACAGGAAATAGGGAAAAATCAGAGAAAATTCCAAAAGGATTAAGAAATAATCGGAAAATGAAACGGGAAAAAAATTGAAAGAGAAGAAAATGAACGGTATTTTGAAGATTTTATTTAGAAGAAAAATTTATACCTAATCGCATGCGATCGCTCGAGTCAATGACGAATATGATACCTTGTGTCGATTTGAAGTGGTGCTCCCAGAGATTTCGATATCGTCCAGCACCGGACATATCGAATGCTGTAAACGCGATACCCTGATCTACAAATCATTAATCAAATCATTGTTGGTGTTATTTTGTCGAAAATTAAATGGGTTCAAATTGTGTATTTCGTGTTGTGTTTGTGTGTTCTGCATGCATCATTATTGGTGTGGCGACGTGATAAATATTTAATTGGATTGGATGGTGCGTGATCACATTGAACAGTTTGTGGTTTGAAAATTGACTACAAAGTATTGCAAAAACTACGGTTTATTTGGTGGTATTGATCAATAGTAGAATATTTTTATTGTTTTTATTTTACCGAGAGAAGAAAGAAGACACACAAACATTTAGAAACCAAAACATAAAATGACCAATAGCAATCAATAACAATGCACATACGGACACAAAATTAAGAGAATAAAAAACCATATGATGATCAATATTTTCAGCTGTGCATTTCCTTTTTTATAACGATATTCGATAACATTTATTTACTGTTTTCTTGCGACAAATACACACAGCTGCTAAAATACCCATTTAAAAGCCAATCAAAGGAAATAATATTTATTTATTTTTCGGGAGAAAGGGCGAGACGAAAAAGAATGCATCAAGTAATAGTCAATTTCTTTTTACAGATAACAGAAAAAATAAGAATCTGTATCGACACAAAAAAAAAGAGAGAAACGTCCAATTCGAAAGCAGGCACTCACTTTGAAATTTTTCAACATTAAATCCAACTGTGGGTAATGTAACTTGGCTTCTTTCTTCTGGATCTTTGAAATGATTAACTATTGTTGATTTACCACTATTATTTAGACCAATCACCAAAATATTAATCTGTTCTTTGCGCACTTTCAGCATACCAGCCAGCATATCGAACAGACCCATCATGACCTGTGGTTTTCTGAATCACACGTCACTGACAAATGGTCACAATTAACAACGATTCTAATGAAAAAAAAAATGTACAGCTTTTCTGAAATCAATTCTGTTTTTCACATAAAGAATTAGATTACTGAATTTCGAAATGATTAAATATTGAATGAGGGCTGTGGCAGTTGCTGTTGCGTCGTCATCCCTTCGACAAAAAATCGAAATTATTGAAAATGTTCAATGTCATCGCTTGTTTATATGCGTTTTAATTTTTGTTCTTTTTTTCTTTTTACTTTTGGTTTCCGTTCCAAGTATAAATTTGCATGAAATTTTGTTTCACTTGCACTAGTGTGGTACCTCCGAGGTGGATTGTATTGTGCAGTGATTTCGTTTATTTCTTTAAAAATACTTGCGACTTCGTGCTATATGCATTAGGCGACAATCGCATCGATAAATTTGAATTGTACCGTCTGGATTTTCGTTGTTGTTAAACGGTTACTATGGTAACGAATTAAATAGTCGGGCTTTTTAAGACCAAACCCCCCAATAACAAACTTAACAAACGAATAAATGGATTTCCTTTATCGAATATTTTCTATAACAAATTTTATTGATTGAGAATATCGGTTGCATGCGTGTCAGAATGCAAGGAAACGACCATCGACTCGAGCCGATTTTGATCATTTTGTATCGCAGGTGGAATTCTCCGTTGAAAATCTGAACGGAAAATTCGCGACGATAAAAAGCAATGTGCATATACAAGCGCAAAATTACTCAAAACATTTAGCCGGCAAATTGAATATAATTTCAAACAATAGATGAACACAAGAAAAAACTGTCATGTGCTCGCCTCGAACAATGTGAATGCCTTTTTTACATTTTGATAAATTCGGCTAATCGCAAACGGATTCGCTCATTCAAATATGTTAAAAGTTTTTATTTTTTGAAAAAAAAGAGCTGTTCAAATGTGTTGTGATTTGAATATGTGTGAGCAGTCATTGTGTGACGTATACAATAGAGCAGAGCCCGTCATATGGTCGATAACAAGGAGTGTCATTGTATTGGTAAACGTGTAAAAAATCCCATTACGGTTGAAATGTATCGACACACACATACACATACTTGCGCACGCTCACATTCACAAATTGACGTACTAGAGTGTTCCATCTCGTTTTAGTTTTCGTACGTCTCGCTCGGTTGAATTTAACTAAAAATGCTTGCTATGCGTGAAATACAGACGTCAGTGCTGGAACAAAGTTGAGCGAAGAACGTTGTTGTTCATCCAAAATAAAAATCAAACCCAAAATTACTAAGTATTGATACAACACAAACACATACGCACAACCACGTATCCAACAATAACAGTGGAATTGACATTGTGAAAAATAGTGGTAATAACAAAAAAATAATATCAGCAATAAACATCGCATTCATTGTCAATCGAACCATTGTAGAGCCTCCAGCCAAACAATATCAATTTTTAGGTAAATATTTTCTAATGTCATTACCATAACTTGCCTCCTCTCCATACAGTCTCTGTGAAAAGAAAAAGAGAGAAGAAAAAAACACACAACAACAACAAAAATACACACGATGGCTGTGTCGCGCCGCTAACAAAATCGAATTCAGGCCAAAAGAAGTAAATCAAGTTTATTGGGGTTTTTCCTCTCAATCTCTTTCTCTTTCGCTAGCAATAAGACGCCGATGAAAACAATTGCGATTGCATTTTTTTGTATCTAAAGAAATAGCAACAAACTGTAGTTTAAGATGGTGAAGGCATTTCGTTTATGTTTTTTTCTTTCGTTTCGTCGTCTTTTGAATCCATACACACACGTTCATTTGATATTGGTTTCTTTATCGAAGGAGAGAATATATACGAATATATTTTGATTTTTGATTTTTGTGTAAAGACCAAGACAGTGATTAGTTTTTTAATTGTTTTTTTGATATTCAATTTTCAATTTATGATGGCATTTCGATCTTATCCCAACTTCCAAACCGATGTCTACATAGTAGCTGCGATGTTGATGTTTTAATCATTCCATGTGATTTACAATTGAAAACATTGACGTACTTTTTTGACATTTGATTCTACTATCAATCGAAAATTTAAACTGTTCGCCAAATCAGTGAACTATATAGACGTTGGAAAAATGACCTAACAAAAGTAAATTTGTTCAGAGAAAATCGATGGTTCGACATGTGAAATATTTTGAATATACACATTACACATTGATCTAGAGATGTGTACGCATATGGTGATATACTGCGTGTTACACACGCACATCACACTGACACGAATTCGAATTAATCGAACTGCAAACGAACAATTTACGTAAAATATACCACACATTTTGTGTGTGTATGCAACACAGAAAACAAAAATCATACAAAACAGTCTGTGGCGCGAATCGAAAATAAAGTTGTTTTTGTCTCGATACCAGAACGAAAAAGTTCATCACATTTCAACATGTTATTGTGGTTGTCCTTTTGATGATTGTTTATAAGTTTTATATTTTTGGGCATCGGAATGCATCCACCAATAAGAAGTCATTTTTATCCACGTAAATAAATGCGCCTATTTTTAAAATGACAAAGAAAAAACTTGTCCAAGATTGTTTTCAATTCTCTTACAGCGGTGGACCTTCAAAAAGAATTAGTAATTTTCCACTGTTTTTGTGTGTGTGTGTGTGTGTGTTTCGGCAATGTTTTGCTTTTCAGCTATAGTATTATAAGCCGTGAAAAACCGGTGTAGTATACAAATTATTGATGAAAATTTTTCTCTTCCTTATTTTTTTTTTTTTCACAGGCTCGAGCGTATATATAAGCCAATCGGATTTTTATTTGCATCCAAAACATTCGAATCTCAGTGAGAACAGTCCATTGTCAAGCGGCATCCAACGAATAGATCGAATAAGTAACAAAAATAACTTTGTTCAGCAGAAAAGAACATTTCTGACTACTGTTTTTGGAGGAACAAAGCAGAGAAGAAATTGACTTTCATCAGAAAAGAATTAATCCGAAGAACGAATTAGCTCGCCAAACTTAGGACTTTGTGCATTCTGTGAACCGTGTGCAAAGGTGAGGCAGCATTTTTTTTTTTCTTCTTCAAAAACTCGAAACAAATCAATTGGATGTGAATCGATGCTTCACGGAATGGGTCTTATTCAGTTATACTCAACACCAAAAACGAGTGCGCCAGTGAATGATCCACAGGCGTCGACCCGTTGTCACGATGAGAATCCATCGTTTTGTCGCTGCCAAAAGACCGAAGTACAGCGAAAGCCAACGGAAAAACCAAAGCCAAAATGTCAAATGCCGAGTCAGCTAACCGATCGCGAAGGGGCGCGTAAGGTGTACTTAGATCCACCAAAAGGTGATAAAACGAATCTCCAAATACCACCCGATACATGCCGATGCGGTGAAGACGCATGCCAAACCATCAATTGGACTTGGGACCGGCAAAATGTGCAACCGCAAACCATCATTCAAAATCACACCGTACAATTCCATCCAATATACAGTCAGGGAACATCGGTCATTCGAAGTAATCAACCGCTCACATCCAACATGATCCATTACTGGGAAGTTAAAATCGTCCATTGGCTTTCGGGCACTGACTTGGTAAGCAATCATAATATATACCATTCAATCATACTGTTTGCACTTTGTGCGAACGTTCTTTTTTTCGTTTGATTTTCATGACAATAGCATTCGCACTTGTTTGTTTATCGTTCGGTTCATCCTTGATGTAATTATTGCGCTTGATTAAAATCACTTGTTTCTGGATTTAGCTGTTTTTTTTTTTTTGCAATGAAATGCGTCAGAGTCGATCTATTGACCATGATGGCCCCTACAACCCTCTTTTTCTCCATTTTTTCCGTGCGCACACTAAACTGATTAGGCAACCGTTTTTCTTCGCAATTTTCAATCACTTAGAAAATAATTCTGCGTTTTTTTCGTAGCTAAAAATTCACTTGCGTCTATTGAAATCGTTACGCATCGTGTGCTTTTTTTACCGTTTCATTCCATATGGGGCTCTCATTAACTTATTAGTCATCAATAATGTTGATAGCATCCCGTGTGCAAATAACATGACTAACAGTCACTCAGTTGTATGTAGCTGTATGTAGTGATACACAACTAAAACTGGCCAAGTTGATTAAAATCATGCGTTTTGTATGTGGACAATCACGTTTAGTTGTTCTTTCAGTCAGCCGAATAATTTGGGACATTTTTACTAAGAGTGATTTGTGATTAAAGTTAACTGCATTTGCTTATTTTGTTCGAGAAAATCACTTCTAGTCAGTCAAATAGTCACTGGATGTCCCAAATTAATCGACTGACTTGAACAGTCAAAAATTTTCCACACGGGATCGCATGCCATTTGCTTACAAAAAAGCGTACAGAGCTTGAGAGATATGGCAGGCAGTTTTGATTTATTTTCGGTTGTATTTCAATTGACCTTTTTCTTGCACGGGCGATGAGAGTGAGAAAATAAAAATGAGATAAAAACTGTTTCGTCAAGTGCGTTGATCGATTATCACAGACAGGTTCAACGATAACAAGCACAACACAATCAATCGCAGAGAATGCAATATGCAAATAGAATACTCTACCGACTACCGAGAACTGTTTTTATATTTGTTGTTCTTTATTTTTGTTCATTGTTTTGCCTGCTGGTCTCAATGACAAGTTTTCGATCACGCTCCAAAAGAATGAACAAAATTTGTATCGTTTAACAGGCGACAAGAAGTATGCTGATATACTAATGACCACACGCACATGAGCAAAATACATGAATCATCTAAAATATAATCTTAATACCATATTTATCATTATAATTGTGGTCAATAGTACAACCGTAATTTGGTTTTTTAAAATGGTTGATCTGAACAAAATGCTTGAAACAAACCAGATTTTCAAACGTCAAAATCGATGTGCACGGTGAAATCGAGTTTTTAGAAATCCGTTTGCAATGGAGAGTCAATCGAATGCGGTTATTCAATAGCATAGCATGAAAGGAAAATAAATGGCTCACATCTCGAAAAAGGGCACAATGCAAGAAAGAAGTTGATCTTGAAAGGTGAAAGTGTTAAATTTACACACTTGTTTCTGCCAACCAAATCAATTCCACAATTTTTTGACACCGATTTCCTGTTATTTTCATTTGTGTCCGCCAAATGACTGATGCGCTCTCGATTTTGTTAACACGCATTCAATTCATGATCACGTTTACTGTCATTATCTTGTGCATCATCCATCTTGTTCCGTCGGAATGTATGTGTTTGTGTGTGTCTGTGTCATCGGCTGTTATACAAATAATCGAAACACCCGCGGATAAACAAACGATAACTCATTAATTAAACGATGCGCACATTCACATTTGTATTCTCTTTTTTTTCGTCAATCGCTTGTTCGGCTTTTGATTATACTACTATATTTAGATATATCTATAAGTCGAATGTGAACGATAAACAAATTCCAAACACCAATACTAATCTATCGATCGCTCAATTGCCCATTGATAATTTATTCGCGTGTGTGTATTGTTTGTTTGTTTTTTTTTTTTGTTAACTGTGTTAGTTTTTCTCTCATCTTTGATTATATTTTCAGATGGTGGGTATAGGTTCAGATGCCGTGAATTTAATGGAGTATCGCTACAAATTTGCCAGCGTTCTTGGTCTAGATAATCGATCGTGGGGCTATTCGCATCGCGGCATGATACAGCATAAAAATATTCTCAAATACTATGGCAAATCATACACAAAACGATGCATTGTCGGTGTGTACTTAGACTTATCACGTGGCCACTTGGAATTCTACGTGAATCGAATGTAAGCACCAGACAAATATCTCCGAAGTGTTATGTCAACAAATTGTTTTATTGCTGCTGTTGTTGTTTTTTGCCTCTTCTTGAGATCCAAGCACCTAATTATCGTTAGTTGAATGATAAGTGTGCTAAAAATAATCGCAAAAGCAGAGAAGAGGCTGATAAACTAGATTCAAGTGACAAGCCTCCACTCTAAATGAAATTTTGATTAACAACATGTGTTTCTCATTTTTGTTAAAGACAGCTTTTTCCCTTTGTCATGTTTTCGAAATTTCAATGTATTTTGAAAAATTTGGAGAATTTTTCAGGACAAAGGAAAAATAGCGATCTTTATTCGTTGAGTATACTTTTTTTGGAATATTTACTAACGTAGTATTTTATTCTTCAGTCCGCAGGGTATTGCATTCCGAAATATACCACTGGATAAAGAAAAACTGTACGCCATGGTCTGTTCAACATCGGCCAAATCATCGGTGCGTCTTATAAATACCACATCATTCCGCGACTGCCTTCAATTCCGCTGCATGAAAGTCATCACTAAATATCCACAACTGTTGGATGTAAGTATCAAACGTTCAGAAATCAAATAATCAAATTAATGTTTGAACACTGGACTGACGAATGATTTGTTTTTCCTTCTTATTTTTCCAACCGAATAGAAAGTGCAAAACATCCCCGGATTGGCCAACTTATGTCGCGATGTGTGGTTCATGTTTCCAAAAGAGCGGTATCAGTATTCAGAGAAGTCCAATGACAGCCAACAGGAGAATAATCTTGGTGCGCAAATTTCAACGGAATCCAAATTGGACGATGCCGAGTTAGATGAACATCAATCAATGGAATCAATGGAAGTGATTGATGACTGTGATAGTTTGCCGGGCAATATCATTGACTCATCCAACGAGCACGAGGATATTGACGAAGCAATTTTCCTACCAACATTCAAAGAAGAACCACAACAAAGTAGCGATGATGATGACCCCGTTTATGATGATGGCGATTAATGACATGCATTTTTTTTTTTAATTTGTCACAATTCAAAAACAAATCACAGAGATTCATTTTCGGATAGAGAGTTTAGAGCGATTTTATCTTAATCGAAATAATTTACTTCCTAATTATAATGCTTAAGTTTTTTATTTGAAAAATAGAAATATCAACCGAACCGAATTTTGCACGGTCGAGTAGTTTTTTTCTTTTCCATGATGAACGTTTATATACAACATCAATTTTCGAAACAGAAAACAAAAAGACAAAACGCCTTTATTTTTCTCTCTTAATTTCTATAATTTATTTGTTATCAGAACAATCGTAATATTAGTTACTTATGAAGTCTTTTGAAGACTTTTGAATGGAGACTGTAATGAAAATCGCGCAACTATCATTTGTCGATGCCACAAATTTGTCGATGCTACATATCCAGAAGTCGCGCTTTTTTATATATTTATATATTCATATATCATTTTATTTTATGTTTATAAGCGTTTCAGTTTACAGAAACAAAAGTAATAAACGTTTGTTGTTATTTGTATTTTGCAACATTTTGATGAGAAAAAAAAACAGGATTTGTTAATCTTTTCATTTCATTAAATAAACCTTTATTGAACAAAACCTGATGGCAGTTTTATTTATAACAAAAAATAATTAAATTAAAATAATCGGGTTATTATGTGGATGTTTTAGCTTTTGGCAACATATCGATACGTTTTCGTCGTTCGTTTTCGATCATTTTTGCCTGAAAATAAATAGTAATAATAATTATTGAAATGTTTTTTTACTATACAAATTTCTCGTACCTGATTCCACGTTTGAGTTTCGAGCGTTGTTTTGCCTTGGATAATGCCCAGCATTCGAGATAATGTTAACATCATATGCAAATCATCAGCAGATGCATTGGACGAACGTCGCATCTCGATGAAGTCATCTTGAATCATTTTCACGCTTTCGGGACCCATATCGAAGTCTTGCAATCGCATCTCTGTAAGGAAACGACGAATTACGTTCAATTTGGGCTTCAAAAACTGCTTGAGCGCCACAAATGTTTCATTTATAACAGAAATCGTGTCGGTGTCCACCTTCAGTGGAATGTGACAATTGCTCTAGAAGGGGGAACGATTTTGAAAAGAAGAATTAAAATAATTTTTTTTAAAAAAATAAGTTTCGGATTTTTGAGATTGAAACCATATTCGAATATTGGACGTTATTCTCGATTAAATGGAGGAAGGAACGATGAAAAAAAAATTCTTCAGAGTTCGAAATTTGAAACAAATAAATTGGAAATTAAAATCTAATGGACCAAAAAATATTTCCTGAAAAAATACAATTTATACATTTAAAACTTGAATACATACTGGAAACATGCTTTTGCCTTCGCTGAAAATCAGCACCGGTATATTCGCATTGTAATCGATTGTGTAAAATTTGAAGTTCACATTAAGTTGCTGCTTCCGAATGAGATTTGAGATGTACATAACGCCTTCAATGCCATGGGCTTCTAGTTTGCCTGGTTCCAGTTGCGTCTCATCGAGCACAAGATGTGTGTGTGGCGCCAATTGCAATAAGCCACTGTTGAGTTTGCCCGTTTCGTAGTCTTTGCTGAAAATTTAAAATTAAGAAAGAAAATATTAAAAGAAAAAATCATAATTTTCCAGCAAATCGCTTACGTTGGTATAAAATCAGTTGAGTTAAGATTGTCTATTGTGATGGGAAAGTAGTGGCTGGCTGGTAGAATTGATTCGATGACATCGTAGAGTTGTTTGGTGTAACCGGTGAGTTTTTCGCTGGGAAAATTGGTAATGTTCAAGGAAAATTGACCGAGAGTCTCATCGGCGCGAACATAAACCGTTGAAATCAAATGGCAAAACAGGTAATCAGCAGCAATTTCATCGCCAAACAAGCACTGGGTCAGTGCTGTTCTAATATCACGGAAGCAATCCAATTTCGTTTGATCATTTAGCACATCGCCATTGTGTCGGTTGTCATGAAGCAGAGGATTGATGTGGGCAAGTGCTCGATATGAAATGACATGAAGGCGTGGGATGAGTGATGGCGGTGGATTCATGGCACAGATTTCATCGAAATTTTCAAATTCATCCAACTGTCGGTTTGAACCACAGAGATTTGCGTCCAGCGAAACAAAACCAACGACATCGAGTGCATCGTTTAACGACACCTTAGCTGTGTCATCATAGAATTTTGCTATGATAGCATTACTTGGTCGATCAACAATCGGTGAATTTAATAAATATTCACGAGATAAATTCGAATTTGTGCTTGTCTTTGGCTCTGACTCAGAGGCGGATCGATTCAATTTTTTGCTTTGAACATTGTCTGAGTCGGTTTCCATTTGATCGCCAGCATTTTCGTTGGCTTGAGACTCATCCAGTGGTCGTTTGAGACCATTCGACGGTAGATTGTTCATCTCAACATCCATGCTGTCTGCAATGAATTGCTCCTTTTCAATGTCTACAGCCCAATCATTCAAGCCGGGTATCGAAACCATGAAAATCGGACGTCGTTCAGCATGCACATTTTCTGCTGAATCGAATAACACTTCCTCATTTGCCTGAAAACAAATACAAAATCATATTGAACTATTGTAAAAACAAATATTCTAATTATCTCTAGTCTAAATTTTGGGCTTGCCTCCAGCTTTAAATTATCCCGAAATTTCCCTTTGCGCATTGTGAGTGTGTCAGTGTCACTCTTTGTTTGATATGATTCCAAATATATCTCTGGATCAAGCATATTTTGCACCAAACCACGAAATCGAACCAATTGCATGTCTCGCAATTGATTGAAATTTTCCCAATTGCTGATCAGTGGGATTTTAACGAGGTTCACTTCCTTTGACAATGCTTCCAACACTTCCACCGATTTCTCGGCAAATAATTCTGGAGTAAGCGCTTCTAGTGTTTCCATCTTGTCTTCTTTTTTTAAATATAAAATCACACAAAAAGAGTCTACTTTTTATATTCTAAAGCAAATGCACTGTGATCTACTCAAAACAATACAAAACGTTACATGCCGCCTCGTTATACATACAATAACTTTTTGCGCGCGGAGTTTGACAGTTGTCAGAGCTACCGATTGATACGTGGTGAATTCAAGCGAAGCTCAAAACCCGTCGTGTTACGGTTGAACAGCAAATGTTTTCACCAATGAAAGCATAGCATAAAAAGTTTAACAGTTTCAATACGATGAATTTGGCCAATTGAGAATGATCGATAAGAAGAACAATTCGAAGCAATTGACCTTGAATGTTTACAGGGGTAAGGCTCTAAAAGATCAAATACAGTGAACCCTTCGAATATACACAAATTAAATCAGAGAATTCTCTGAGAAGTTGAAAATTGAATTTTCTTCTAAATTGCAGCGGTCCTTTATAAAAAAAAAACTAAATCAATGCACAGTTTCATATCTCTTTTGGCTGATGGTCATAACAAATGCCGAATAAAGTTGACCCGTTAATCAGCGCACGCAGCTTATGAGATGCCGTCATTTTGCAAATCGTTAAATCCATGTATACATGTCGGTTTTGTGTTTAATTTCTTTTTTTTCTAACAATATTTATTTAGTCCTGCGATGAAATCACCGCCAAAAACATCGACGACTATGACGCGAAAGCAATGGAAAAAAAACTTAATAATCAAAAATACAAGCAAAGTTCAAACGGAGATATTTGTCAGTTATAACCATTGATTTATGGTGAATGCAAATCCATTGTCAACTAGGCGATGTGTCTCTCGTGACACTGTACGGTGAATGGATTGTAAACTAGTCGAGATTTGAAGTAGTGAATGACAGTTTTATAGATCGAATCGATTGAAAAGTGGAAAAAAGGTTTCCCAAACATTCCGTCGTCGTCGTCGTTATTATCATCTCAATTTCGGCAAACACACAAGCATAAATATTGTGACAACGTAATAATAATTCACTCAACTGATAAGGATTGAATTTTTAAAAAAACTGAAACGAAGAAAAAAAATGTAATTTTTTGGGTATCGAGTGTGTTTTTTTACGCTTTATGGCTTTTCGACTTTCATCGCATACGTCGAATAGGCGTTCAAAAAAAAAAAAACATAATCTGGGTGTGGATAGGCCATTACTGAGTATGTCTGCGAAGTGATGACTTTTGACTTTGCTCATGCAATTTACCGAGAGAAAATAAGAGAGAGAAAGAGAGAGAAAGTTGTTTCAATTATGGAATTCATAGTCCATATTTTGATAGTATCTGGAGGCAGTTTTTCAGTATGATTGATTATTAGTCACAGTTTAACATTGATTGTATTGATGCCGTTGCATGCACTTCGGAACCAAACATTGTAAATGATACACTTTCCTCTTCCCATATTCCTTGTTGTCTTCTCTTTCTCTCTTTTCTTTCCATTCGTTCTCATTCGATTTGTAGCCGCTGTTGCCATTTTCGAAAAAAAAAACGTCTATTCATCGCGTTCAATTTGTTGCTTTCCGAGACACTGTGAAATGTTCAATTATCGGTTTTGTTGTAAAGTGATGTATGCGTGCATGCAAGCCAACGCACCAAATCTTATCAGTAGATAGAGACAACAAATGTGACGCTTCAATCGCAACAATTTCAACACTGGAATAGAACATTAGATACGAAAACATCGTACGATTTGTGACGGCCCTTTTTTCATCACATGCACCAATTGAAGCGAATAGACACACTGAGACCGGCAAAAGTCATGTTGAAAAGTGAAATTAAAGCTATTGATTAAAGTTTTAATCAAATGATTCAATCATTGCATGCATTTGCCAAGTAGAATAAAACAATTGTAGAACATCAACTTCACATTGATTTCAATCTGATACAGTTATCAGGTGCAGAATTCGTGTGTGAGTGCGGCAAAAATTGAGTGTTGTCAAATATTTGGAATAATTCAGTGTTGAACGAATCGGTTCAAAGTAGCAGATAGCACCAGCATAGAGAACAACATTCGTCATTCCAGTGCTATTGTATAATTCCAGTGTGATGATAATTCACAGCGAAACGACGCAAAGCTGAACTGAACTGAACGAGGAAAAAAACAATGTTTAACGTACATCCATGTGACCAAAGGTGAAAAAGAGATGCAAAACGGTCAAAACAAGAGCACAATTTGAACTGCAGAATATTTATGGTTTGTTGTTGTTTGTGAGTGTTGTGACCAATGTGCACAGTATTAAGCAGTGAGTTGTTAGTCAGTGTAGGAAAGATCGCACTTCATCGCCACTGTGAAGAGTGTGAATGAATGTGACACGAGATGACATATCGTAAGTCGGCATCGATGAACTGCGACCGAATCGTAAACACACGGGCAAATCAATTCCAAACTGTCAACGCAGAGATTTGAAAATATGTGCTGTGGCACACGGAAAAAATCGCATTTGATGACCGAACAACGACAGGAAAACACATAGCGGGAACAACGACTGTAATTTCTTAATCAGTTCCGCACAACGATCACATTAAACGTGCATTCGCAATTCATAATTCCACTGAGCCATCGTAAAGCACTAGTGAAAAACTGTAGCAAACGGTTTTTGTTTTTGCAACGAAAAGTCAACAAAAAAAATCGCAATATTTTGATATTGTAGCAAGTTGATTACTTCAATTACAGCGACCTAGACACACAATCTCAAGCGCAGCAACTATTCCGTGAAAGAGTCGATTTAACGTATTTCAGAGTAATAAAATGCGACCCGATGTGAATTCACTTCAATGATCACATTTGTAGTGAGTGCAAGTTGAGCGAATAATCAAATGAGAAACATTTGCATGAAGGGGGGGGGGGGCGGCGCCCCCCACAGTGAAATTTTGCTAAAAATAATGAACTTTATGTGCTAAGCTAAATAGAAGTGAAGACTGTTCCAAAAAAAAAAATTGAGGCTGAGAAATTAATTTGTTGCCGTTTTTTTCATGTGCATGTTTTGTGTATCGTATCATATAAGATGAGAATTCAATTTCGTTTTTTTCTGTTCGTCTGTTCGTCTGTATACAATCAGGGTGAAAATTGTTAATTGAAAATTGTGAAATCGCACAGATGATGAATTGCTATCGCAGCCTGTTACACACATTATCGACGTTAAATGAAGACACAATCCAGACGAGTGAGAAAAGAGACACTATAAAAACAACAATTTTTCAATCGATCCCCTTAATTAGCTGGGCCGAAAAGAGTGGAATGTACTGAATGTGTTATGTGTTTGGCGATCAGTTGAATTCGTGCGCAGTTAATGGTTTCAAGTGGCTGTCGCGCTGTTGTACCTTTTTTTTTTGCTTTGCATCATTCTCGGTTGTGTATGGTGTGCGAAAAAAAGATTTGCCGATTTCAAAGCAACAATTAATAACGAACATTAGCGCCACAAGTGAGTCGAAACGTTTACATTGAACGCAATAGAGCGCGGCGACAGTGTGTAAGAGAAAGACAAATAGGACAGAGAAGGGTGATCGGCGTGTATCGCATAGTGATTTGGAGTGTGATCGCAACGTCTGAACGGCGTTAGGAAATCCAAAGTCCAAAATTCAAGTGTAAACGAAGTTTAGCGCCCTAAACATTGACATTCTCAATTTCGACCGAACGTCCTTTTTTTGTTGTGATTTTGGTCTCATGTATGCAAACAAAATGTTTCAAATATCGCGCATATCGAACAAAAATATCAACGATAATTTCGCAATAAATGATGGCAGTTTTTTTCCACGACGAAAAAATCCATACGATATTTTAATCAAAATATCGAGATGGACCATCTTGTGCTATCATCTGCGATCTATTTTGATTGGTTTATGGATTTTATTGAAATGGTCATTCCAATTCTTATGGCATTCGATACAACAGTCAACGAAACATCAGCAACAATTGGCACCCATCGATTTGCATGGATATTTTCATGACAAGCCGCCTCCGTGTCTTGTCGACAATCGCATCGGACTTCAATCATATGTTAAGCTCAAAGGCACTAAATTGCATTATATCGAAGCCGGTGATCGATGTGATCCCCTGGTTTTGCTGCTCCATGGTTTCCCTGACTGCTGGCTTGGATGGAACAATCAGGTACCCACACGATTTGTTTGGACGGATCATTTACGATGAAATGACGTTTTTCTGCAAAAATGAAAAACAACAAATCTAATTTAGTTTTAAACTCATTCGCGTTTGCATTTTTCTAAAATATTCTTTCCGCCTCCCCCCCCCCCCACAGATCAAAGAACTTTCGCGTTTTTTTCGTGTGGTTGCCCTTGATTTAAAGGGTTTTAATGACTCTGATAAACCACAATGGCGCAAAGAATATACACCATATAAAATATGCGACGAACTGTTGCAATTTATCAAATCGTTGGGGTCAAGTTCTGTGATAATTGTGGGACATGATTTCGGCGCTGTTATCGGGTGAGTGCCTACGTGTGCTTCTTTTTCGTTCAATGAGGAAACCAATGAATATTTTCGTGCGATGACTAAGCTCCTCTTTCTCTCTCTCGCTGCACTGTTGCTGTCTCATTATCAATTTAATCTTAATTCAGTTTCAATTTCAATTTCAATTTCAATTTCATTCTCAGATGGTTTTTCGCTCATACGCATCCAGAAAATGTGGATCGATTTGTGTCGGTGTCGGCATCTCATCCCAATCTGATGTGGGATAATCTACAGTCAAAGTCACCGATCAATGACTACTGGCTGAAATTTATTCAGCTACCATATTTGCCAGAGATTGAAATGACGCGGGCCGATTCGAAATTCATTGAACGCGCATTACCACATCTTAGCAAAGGGACGTACAATCAAACCGATTCACCCATTCAGCAAATACCAAACAAACTCGATGCATATAAATATGTGTTCAGTAGAAAGAGCGATTGGTCCGGGCCGCTAAATTATTATCGAAATCTACCCTTTTATAAAATAGTCGCAGGCGAAACGATACGATGCCCCTGCCTAATTATAATCGGTAAGTGGTGTGTTTATTTGCTGTCAAAATTGCACTTGAAGCGCATGACAATATCTCGTGATTGGAATTTTTTTCATTCATTCCATCATCGTCGATTGATAAACGAAATAATTAATTGGATTCTATTTCTGTCATTGATTTTTCGATGTGTTTTAGGTGGCGAAGATAATTATTGCCGCTTGGATTCGGTGGTCCGCAGCACGGAATACTGTGATAATTATACCGTCAAAATTATTGAAAATACTGGTCATTGGCCGCATCAAGAGATGCCCGTTGAATTCAATCGAGTCGTGTTGAAATTTCTCGTCGGTATGTTTGACTATTCAATGAGTATGAGAATTTTGAGTAGAAATTGCGATTGAGATATCCTCGAGAGTTCACTCAGAATTTCCTTCCGAATAAAAATCCAATTTTAATCATCTCTCTCTCTCTCTCTCTCTCTCTCTCTCTCTCTCTCTCTCTCTCTTTCGCACAATTCAATTGCAGGTCATCGTGCAAATCCGAAAATCGAACCGATTGACAAGGTGAACAATCGAGGAATAATGGGAAGAATGTTAGGTGCGGTATCAAACAGTGTTAAAATCGGAACTTATGTTCTGGACTCCGTGCAGCAACGAACAAACGATGTTATCCAAAGTGCTTTACATTAACGTCAATAATACATAGCAAATGAAATTACTATAAATGAGATAAGTCTTCACTAGATAGTTCCAATTTTTTTTTCCCTAATTTTAGTAATAGTCCCAGAATTCAATTGTACCAATTATATCGATAAATTACGTATAGGAAATGAAGTGCATATTTGTTATCCGGTATTGTTGATTGCCGGCAGAAGATATTTAGACAAAATCCTGAAAAATGGAACTACAAACTACTAAGTAAAATGCCAAAATATTGTGTTGATTGAACTTCTTACTTGCAATTTATTCCTAACCATGTCGCTCCTTTGTTACAATGCATTATAACAACTTAGTTTATTAAGTGAATCCACTATTTATAAATATGTAAATGATGAAATTTGGTTTTCTATTTTGCTAATCAACGTAATCAATGGCTACGATGTTTCATCGTCAGACTCCCGTCCAATTTGTTCCGCCTCGGATAGTGTGTCAGGTAACTTTCGCTTCAAGGTCTCAGGTAATCTGAGTATTAAAATCGACGCGAACAACGACATTAAACCGAATGTTAAGTACGGCAATACTTCCATATATTGACTCTGAAAATGAAGAAAAATCATGTCGATTGCAGTTGATTTGCAGTTTTTAATACCTTTTTTTAGGAATGGCTGTGAAAACTATTTTTCACAATTTCTTTATAAAAAAAAAGCGATATAAAAACAAAATACATAAATTTCCTACCAGCAGCGGTGCCATAGGTGCTAAAGCAGCTCCAATTCGTCCAATTGTTGAACACAATCCCATCATGCTGTGTCGAATATTCGTCGGCCAAAGCTCGCTAGTATAGACATACAAAGCGGTGAAAGCGACTGTGATAAAGCATTTTCCGATGAAAAACAGCGTGATGGACAGTATGCTAAAATTAGATGGCAACGTTTTTGATGCAAGTATTGATGCACCTCCAATCAAAAGTGACATTGAAATCGTCCATCGTCGGCCGCACGATTCCATCAAAAAGTAAACGAACAACATTGCTGGAATGCCCGCCACTGCAATCACCACAAAGTTAATGTACTTATCACCAGCGAGTGAGACCGACGTTAAACTTATGCCATACGAAACAAATGCAGTTGTTAGCCATGCAAAGGCGCAAATCAAAAATCTCATCAATAGGTTGCCTTTTTTAAAAATCGCGCAAATTTGCTGTAATTTACTTTCATCACTGTGATGACCCACATCATCTGGTTTTTTTGTTTTGAAATTTTCGTTCATTTCGATATCGATACGATCGACGGTGTTCTGTGATAATTTCAATCCATTCATTTCTTCCGCACGTTTCAACGTTGATAAAACTCGTTTTTTCTTATGATTCACAATCAACCATCGGATCGATTCTGGTGCAATCCAAAAATAGAGAAGAATTAGAAATCCGGGCGCATAAATTATCTGTAATAATTGTCGATAGTTGCGAACAGCTCGTGCTGTGAAACCCAAAAATATTTGACCCAGTGGATATGTGGCCACCACAAGGCTTCCCAACAAAACCCGGTCTTTTGTGCCAATCCATTCCAATGCTAAGATGAACGATGCTGAATATGTCACTGAACCGATGCCCGCATCGAGAAACTCAAACAAGACAAAAGTCACGTAATTTGGTGCAAACGATCTAATGTATGCGAATACCGAACTGCAAAATACGCCCGTTATCAATATCGTACGGCGACCAAAACGATCCGAAAATAAACTCATTATCGGCATGAAGATGAAACGGCCTAAATTGTTTGCCGTACCAACCATTGCCAATTTCCACGTTGCATCATCATCACACGTGAAATGGAACTGTTTGGATCAAAATTTGATGTGTTTATTGGATTATTCTCTTAATTTTATATTGGATGTACTCGCTTCCGATGGACAATACTTTCATTAGCTTATATTTTCATTTTTTCTTATTGAAATAGATTATTGTTTTTCTTTCAGAAAAAAAAAACCGACACTATTAATGCCTAGCCTACACTCAAAATATAACGTGGTACTATTTACTAATATATTAGTGTATTTTACGATTGATTTAGTGGTTTTGCATCGGCTGAAATATTCGTACATTCTACGACACACGATTATAATCAAGAAAGTAGACTCTCTGCAGCGCCGTCGATTATTAGTGACGGCGAAATCACCTGTAAATAGATGGAAGTGATTTCGACCAATTGCGAAATACTGCATAATAACACTGATTAGTACTGAATTTTGTCATCATAAATCGACGGCGCTGCAGAATATCTTGACACAAATTTTCTATGAGATTATATGCGTGTGTTCTACGATGCATCATCGTAAATGCTACGATTGCATTCGTAAATACTACTATGCATGATAGTGGATTGCTTCTTCGTGTTAAATAATTTGATAAATCTTCAAATCATTATTGGAAATACGGGACTTTGAGAAATTATTACATTTTTTTTCTTCAAAATTCACTTATCAAGAAACTTATCAAAGTTTAACGAAAACTATGAAAAATTGTCACATTTAAAGAGTATTTTCTGTCTTAATTTCACTCTTTTTGCCAAAAAATATAGTTGTAAAGAAGGATGTAAACTCAGCACTGAAAGCTGTAGACTACCATCAGTCTACTCAGTCACACTCTTCTTTATATTTTCCAAAGTTCTATAATTGAACCATTGCGACAAATAAATTCCCTCAGAATATTCTAGTTTTAAAGTGCAACATGAAGTTTTTTTTTCATATAGAGTTGTTGTTGTAAACTCTATATAAAAAAATTTCATGCTGAACTTTGAAACTAAAATATTTCGAGGGAATTTGTTTTTCGCAACGGTTCAATTAATATTTGAAGGAAAACGAACTAAAATCTCGTTTAACAAAAGAATTTCAAAAGGAGACATGCTTGAATGATGACATGGCGTCAACAATGGAATGCTTTGTATACTGATACATGTATTTGGTTGGATCTCGGTTGACCAAAGCGCTCTCTAAAGAACCTATGGCGGGTTCATGATGTCCATATGTTATACTTCAGTATGACATTTGACAGAATGGAGAGTTTACTTGATTGTATTATCATTAGCCTTAGATTATCTAGGTGGTGTTTGTGCTCAATATCAGTTGTCAAATTCAAAACGAATAGGATAGTTGCATGGCGTACGATAGTTTTGTTTATTTTACGACATAATTCGTGCATTCTACGAAGCAGTCGTATATTTTACAACGGCCATTCGTTAATGCACGGGTGAAATGAAATAACGTATTTTCTTTGATGGTAATGTTCGTCGTAACGCTTACAAACCGCCCTACTACACTGTCCAACATATGCCTCGTTACAACCCGTGCACAAAGCTGCATAAATTCCAGATTTATTCAGCTCCTCAACCTTGTCTTTCAAATTACTCACGTGAGTTTTTAATTTGTAACTGGTGCCATTTGGCGACAAAATAATTGAATGATTGCGCAGAGTTCTCGCTAATTTCGTTGTTAGACCATCTACGAAAATTCCGCCTGAGTAATAATAATCATCATCGAATAAATCGTTATTGATTGAATTTCCCAAAGTTGTTAAATCATTCAATTCTTTCTTTTCTTTATGTTTTTTCAACAGTGTGTTGACAATTTTTTCACTGAAGCCATTCACGTCGGCTATTTCATACAATTTATCAACCTCCTTTTGATAATTTATATCACTCAAAGGCAAATTTACTGCACGATAACAAAACGAATTAAATGATGAAAATTTCGTTTGTTGTGAATGGTATGATGTTGATGGAATACATCGATCAGTGCGGTAAATGTCGAAATCCAGTGTGTCATTCACCCTAGTGACATTTAAATCTAAAAATGGCAATGAATTTTCTTGCTCATGTTCTGTAGTAAAATGTATTCTTGGATTTATTCCGTTTAAATAAATGAGGAAATCGTCAACTTTGTCTTTATCAATGATTACAAAAGTATCATCGACATATCGGTACCAAATTGATTGAAAATTTGGATAATTTTCTTTTGCTTTTGTTTCGAAGGCTGACATGAAACAATTGGCTGCAAAAGAAGACAAAGAATTCCCCATTGCTAAGGAATCTACCTGTTAGTAAACTTTATCATTGAACTTGAAATATCATGTTCCCAGACATGATTTAACCAAACGCATGTACTCATTCACAATCTCATCTTCAGTTTATCCATTGACAATGGACCATTGTATATTCGTACGGTCAGCCGTTCAAGTTACAATGCTGCATCGTGTATTCTACGACTGCTTCGTGAAATGTACGATTCGTATCGTATCAAATGGTAAATAACCTCGTGCAGCTTGGCGTCATTTCCTCCACTTCCATATGTTTGCAATGATGTTTGAACTTTGACAAGCCAGCTTCTACAATACAAATTAAATGCGAGTGGAGACGCCACAAAAATGACTCCAAAATCGTCGATTAATGATCGAACTACTTTACAACTGTATCGTAAAATGAATACAACTTCATCGCAACATTGATGACATATTTTTCGATGCAAAACTACGATAGCCATAGTAAAATACACGAATATATTAATATATTCGTAAATCTGTAACTTTTTAAAATTCAAAAAGGCTTCATCGTAAGATGCACAAATCAATCGTAGATATTACAAAGACATCGTAATATATACGAGTGATTCGTAAATATTGCTGCGGCATCGTAGTATTTACGAATAAAATATTCTAAAATTTACTACGGTTCATTTTGAGTGTATACATCCAATATAAAATTTGAAAAATTTGTCAACAATAATCTCATTCGAATCAACGTTTAATGAACTTACATCATTCATAATCGAAATCTCGTCTGTTTTGTAAATGAACTGGTTACATCCTATCACATGTGAACGATTGAATTCACTTTCCGGGCATATATCATACAATGAATACAGAGTGGGTTCTATATGACGCTCATAACGGCTGCACTTGGACGGCTTTTTATTTGAATATGGTATCGCATTCTGTAGCCATTTTGGTTCAAAAGTGTTCGTATCTAAGGTCTCGCATTCTGAAATGAAACAACTGAATATTGGAAACTTTCTTGTTATTTTTTCAATGATTTTGTTGTAATTTTTGTTTGTAATTTGGAACGTTTTATCACAACAGAAATATCCAATTTGACGAAGAATTTAATATCGGAAAAAATGATAGAATATTATCGGAAAAAAATATATACACGAATATGATAAAGTAACTTTACAATATCAATCGGTCGATCAAATCGGTACTGGAGATAATCATGTGATAATGTAAATATAAATCTACTAGTGAGTTTGAGAGTATACTATGCTATAGCATATGTTTTTCTGACGACTTATATTTTGATAAAATGAAGTATATTTCACTTGTGGTTTTTGGCAATTTTCATTTGAATGACAAGAATTATCGAGTTGATGACTTCGTAAGAATTGTTGGTCTTTTGAAACTGTACAACTTTACAAATGACAGTCAGAGCTGGAAAAAACACTCTGTGTGTGCGCGCACGTAACTAAGAATGCAATCACAGTAGATGTGCGTGCACATTTACATAGATTTCGGTTCTACTGTCAAATTTTGGCGGAATCTATGTAAATGTGCACGCACATCTACTGTGATTGCATTCTTAGTTACGTGCGCGCACACACAGAGTGTTTTTTCCAGCTCTGATGACATTTATCGTTTATCTATTGAAACCATTAAATTTTTACAAGATTTGTTCACCGCTTGAAAACATACCATACTTTTTCTAATTCAAAGTCTGTGAAACATACACCACTCTCAATCTCCATAGACAAATAAAAGCAATGTGCAATCATTTCTGGGTCATTGTATCTTTATGTAAATACCCAATGAGGAAAACGTTACAGTTGTACACATTTTGTGCACAGCTTATGGAGAAATTACATTATTATAATATATACCTACTGAGTACCTATCAAAAATAAGCTATTATATCAAAAAGAAAATATGTTAATCATGTTCGAAAAAAATGGAAAGCAGAAGGGCAACATTTTGATTTTATTGAAGAAATGAACCGTTGAAAATGCATTTATCTCCAGCAAATCGGTGACAATCCTTTTGCACACCAGAAAATTATGAATAAATAAAGGAGGAAGAAAAAAATTACAACAAAAAATGTAAAAACCAAATGAAAATTCTGTCGATAACTTGCTTCAGAGCAAACCAACCAAACGCATTTAGATGTGTCATTTATTTATTATTATTTTTGAGCAAAAAAAATCCATTCGACTAATTAAATGCAACTCATTCCACCAAATTTCAGCTTATGAATCTTCTGTTTACATTTCAAGACCAGTTTTTCTTTTCATAAATTTGCCAGGTGGCTTCATGTTATCTTGTCTGCGATCGAACCGTTAAAAAAATGAAGACAAATCTTACCGAGATTCAACGTTGAGCGCGGTGAAGACATAGTTCAGTCCGAAACTGCCGGATAAAGCGAATGGTAGACAGAACAGAATATAGTTGATGATTTGGTATTTTTTGAATGTGCCTCCGATATCGTTTAAAATCAGTTCCACCAAATCGGTATTCCATCCTTTGTCGGCACGGGCTGAACTCACCGAATTCTTTTCCGGGTCGGGGTCGTGGCTCGGCATTATTTCAACTTGATCTAATCCAAATTAGTGAACTTTATTTAAACCGAATTGCATAGACAACCTAATTTAAATGACGACTGAATTAAAATTTGAACGAAACATTTATGTTCTTGTCGTTTTCTTAACAATGCTTTATTTAAAGATAAACCGCAAAATCACTCTATCGCTAAAGATTCTACATCGAACGAGATAAGAATCAAATGATTGATGGTAACGGTATCTATCGCGTGTTAAAATAGTGTAAAATGCCAATGCTGAAACGACTATCAACTAGATTATCTAGGTTGTTTGGTTTTATCGTTGAAATAATAATTAATTTATGTGTCGATTTTTGTTTTATGCATTTGTTTGTTGTCGTCGTCGTCGTTGTCGTCGTACCGTTTACACCGTTTACACTGAACTGATTTTTCTGATGTGTTCGCATAGCATGCTCAAAAGTATTATCTAAATCTGGTAGACGATGTGAGTGTTGCTGCTCGTGCACAGCAGCGTAATTTTAGATTGTGAGTTGCGTGAAATGACATTTACTAATATAATGACTCTATACGTTATCTTGATACAAAATGACGGTAACGAATAGCAAGACGAAAAAAACACACATCGACCACTCTCGGTTTGTTTATCTGCTTGGCGATCGGAAGAATGTGTGCGTGTGTGAAACGTTCACGTTTATGCCATACACACCGAAAATAACACACTTTCCCAATCAACGTGCTCGATCCGATCAAAAGTAAACATACGTTTAGTTGTATGATGCACAGCACTTGTTCCATTGATTATCGTCATCTTTGTCGTGGTTTTTTTCTCTTCTAGACTGTGATTAACGGTGTGCAGCAGCACCTTTCCATCGCTAATATCAGCAAATCATTATGCTGTAACTGTGTTACAACTCTGATTTCACTGTCATTCAAAATTACCCACCATTCAACTAGCAAACACTCAATGAATAGCCTCACAACATACAACTTACAATCTATTTATCAATCACACACAAGAAAGTAACAGTCACAGTCACTCAATCGATTACATTTCATGGAAAGCACTTTCGCATTTTTCACACTGAAACCTTAATGAATAATACGATCTTCACATTTTTTTTCTCTATAACTCTATGGAAAAGAATTGACAAAAAAAAGAAAGATATGTTTGCAGATTGTTTTTTCTTGAACGAACGAATCACAGTCAACTTACATTGCCCGCTAAATTCCCGGTAAGAATACACTTTTGACACTGAACCGATAACGAGGTGATTGTCGAGTGATCTTTACCCTCGATGGACAAAATGCTGCGGCTATTACATTGTAATTAATTAGTAGTCAGCGAAATTTTAATATGTTCGGCGCTTAATTGCTTAAATTGTACGTGTGACAGACATTCAACATAGAATACGTGCTGCCATCTCTTGATCGTTGATCGTGCTTTGGGAACCTCATTCACCACTTGCTTTTTGCTCGAGTTTTACACGCATTCACTTTGCATGATAACACTTTTTGAATTTAAGTCGCTTTGCATCCGACTGAACGAAGTAACTTTTCTTTTACTTCAATTTAATTAATATTGCAAAAATGTTCACTTGTTAAATATCTTTTCTTTCATTTTTGCGCTGTAGACTGTTTTCTTTATTTTATTTACAAATCATAGTTAGGGAATATTAAAAACAAACATTGCATACAATTCAAATCACATTATTATTTCTTCTATTTTCATTGCTTTTTGTCTACTTTTATTCACATGAGACGAAATAGATTTGCTCAGATTTTCTTTGCTATTCCGACGTTCAAACATTTTTTTTGTCATTTTCATTCATTCTAGTCTTTATATTCATTAACAATTTAAATGGCAAGAGTATAAAAGTTGTGAGATGGATAAACTGAATTTGAAATCTTGATTTTAACTGTTTTAAATTCATGCACAAGAAGAAAGAACGTAAGACATACATAAACAAAAATTTAGATGAAAAAAAAAACCATTTCGTTTCATTGTAAAGAAATTTACATGCATGTAAAGGGCCAATTGTTCTGTATGCTTTGACCAGTAAATGGATAGTAAAGTTCTAATCGGAAAATACCAGAGCACATGCCAGGTGTGAAAAACAAACACAAACATATGAAGCATCGAACCACTTTTGCTAATCACTTTGAAGGGATGACGAGGACGACGACAACTTTATTTCTCTTTAGCTGCAGCTGACTTTTTGATCTATATTTGGATGTGTGCAATCGGTGGCACATACCAATAAATCTTTCGCTGCTCGAACATTGCATGCGTTATTTGTTATTCATCGCATATAGTTCGAATCGAACTATTTACCACTGTTTACTTCATTTAAATACAATTCAAAACTTGCCATTTCAGAAATTTGAATAAAGAACATCCAAGACGATTCCCCAATCAAAAATTATCCCGCAAGGGGCGCCGCATGACAATAACAACAAATCAGACTCTATACAACACTTATACAGACGAATTCCCATTGGGTAAAAATGAGTCGATTTTTGGGTGATGTTATTTCATTCCACTCTTAATTCAATCAACCATATCAATGCTAAAAAATGGTCAGAGTTCATCGTTATGAAATGATTGGAATGAGTAACAAAGTGTCCACAACATTCCGTAGCCTGAAAGATTATGACTTGATTCGGTTGATGCTCACATGTGCGATTGCAAACACATATTTACATATAAAATCAAGAGCCGCGATAAATTGTATGCAAAAAACAATAAACATCGCAAGCGTGTGTGTGAAAGAGAGAGAGAGAGAGAGAGAGAGAGAGAGAGAAAGAGAGAGAGAAGGAAAAAAATTGAAAGCAGACCAGAGAAAATATTATAGTACGCTTTTGTCTCGTATGTCGTTTTGGATTGTTGTGTATATTATTTATGCTTCGAATTTCATAGTTGTATATCTGACTCGCTCGTTTGCCATGTGTGCAGCAGGCGCGCGCTGTCCAACGACGACGACGACGACACATCAACAACGGCAGTTTAATGTTTCGGTAACGAAAATCAAGTCGCTCTCAAAGTCGTCCAAACAGTCGAATTGGATAAGCCTTCGCGTGGATAAGTTTCGGTTACACGGTGTTACACTTGGCCAACTTGTATGCTCACATTTTTTGTGGCTTGTTTTTGTTTTGCCGTTGGGAATATCGACTTGCAATTGTGCAATCTATTGCACTATTTGGAACTTCTTCAGAATAAAACAGTTTAAGTGTGAGTAGAAGAAAGTTTTTTGAAGAAAAAAAATAATCAAAAATTCTAAAGAAGAAAAATTAAATTTATCTAAAGAAAAAAATCATTGCAAACCAAATTTGTGTATCAGCGAATGAATCCAAGTGAATCCCTCCATTGAAGTGTTTATATTCTATCAAAAATGTGTGAATTTGACCGTTCAATCATTCAAAATCGTTATTTCTAAATAAAGTATTCAGAAATGATGAGCAAAAAAAGGTTTCTATAAATTTCCATTTGAAAAAGAATCAATCATGCCAATTGAAGCATCTGGCATGTGTTCATATCGCACAATTTAATGCTATTTTTAATGTATTTGGCATTTTTTTGTTTTGGTTTCGAATTTCAAAAACGTTTGAACAGTCTGAATTGCGAATGCGAGTGAATAAGGCCGCAAAGAGCGTTTGTCTCACTGAATCGAATGTTGTGAACTTGAGTAGCAATAAGGATAGCACTGAATATAATCAGCCCAAGAATTTATATAATCACTGGCAATGGCTTTATTGTAATAAATTTTCGGTGGCAATTTCAACAATCAAATAGGCACTAGAAGTTGATGTCTAGTAACTGAACGCTGACAAAAGAAAAATACTTACAGCAACATGCAAAGCAAATGAACAAACTAACGAAAGAATTTTCTTAGATTAGGTGGCAAAATTTACATGATAATAACCCGTGTGAAAAATTTGTGACTGACTAGCCAGCCGTCTAATTTCGGACTTTTTGGCTGACTATCAGTAACTAAAAGTGATTATCTCGAACAAAATATTCGACTGTAGTCAACTTCAGTTATAGTCATCTAGTAGCCAAAAAGTTCGAAATTAGACGGCTGGCTGAATGAATAACTAAAAGTGATTGTTTCTATACAACATTCTTGAATTCAATCAATTTAGCCAGTTTTAGTTATTTGCAGTTACATACAACTGAATGACTGTCAGTCACTTTATTTGCACACGGGAAGACAATGAAACATAAAGCTATGTTTGCAAATCATTATTGGGCCACAATTTTCACTGATTGTTACCTTCGACTTAATTCAGCTTATTTTGTTGACACACACCCAATTTCAATTGTTTACAATTTTAAGCATGGTGAAGTAATTGACCTTTTTTTGGTTTGCAGTGCGTGTGGCTTTCTTGTTTGTCTTATTACAAATGAGGGAATTAAACCGAAAGAAAGTTCAATTGGTGAAAATATTCAATTGGGTGCCTAAACGACAGTATATATATTTATATATATATTGTTTACGATCGCAAAGACATGACCAGGACTGTCTTTAGTGCGTTAGGGCAATTCCATGAGGTAACTGGGACCTTGGCGAAACACTTTGTAAACATAAACTAGTTTTGTATGTACGCACTAAAACTCTTTATTGCAACAGCTGCGGCGTAGTAACGCGGCTAATTTCACCGAGGTTTGTCATCAAAATAGAAAAAATAACAACGAAAACCGGGAAAGAAATTAACAACAAAGACATACAGTATACACTATACACCATTATTAATTTATTCCAGAGCATCACACTACGCCTGATTGAATCCATTCATTTTCATATTTTTGCTTTTGAATTTCACCTTTTCCATGACTTCTAATCGTGTTTCTGAACCAAATAAAGCATTCATTCGAGTCAAAAGTTCGTCATTATCCCTTGTTATGCACGCCTACTATTCGAAGCGTTAATTTGCCCGATAAACTCGCATTGAAAGCAACTAAACTCTTTTTATAACAGTGAAAATAGCTAAGTTCAGCGGTTTGAAGCCACAATAACAGAGAGCGCGAAACAGTGAAAAAAGACTATAAAAACATACATAAAAAAGAATCAGAAGTATAAAAGTTTAGAATCGAAAAAAGAAAATGACCAGAACAAAGTTTGGATTTGCGAACGGCGTATTTGTTATGAGAAAAAAGTGCGAGGAATTTAACAAAAGCATTAAATGAACTGAAGTTAAACAAAATTCAAACATTATTCCAAAAGCAATTTTAAACATGTAATTCAAACTAAAATTAGCACAATCCGATGCACCACTCAATTGAATCATCCATTTCAAAAACACGTCCGTGCAACGCATACAAAACAAAACATTCGTCAAAACAAGAGAATGAAATGTGATAGAATTTGAATTATTTCATGGCAACCAGTAAAGTAGTGGATGAGACTTATCATCATTTTGCAAACGAAAAGAAAATCAACAATTTCAAAAACTGGACGATATTAACACGAGATTTGCATTGTGAAATTGAACAGAGAAGTTTCTGGATAAGACGTAAAACTGTTTATTCATCAAATCTTACTATTTCTTCAAAAAAAAGATGAGATATATAAAGAAGGGTGATTCATTTAAAACTTTTTTTTTTATTTTTGAATAAAACACAGAAAATTTAAATCGATCGCCAAATTTTTATTACCATCTGAAAGAACATTCTATGGCATTTACTTTTTGAAGATAATCCCTTTCAGATGTTGGCCATAACTGCGCTTAAGGTGGTCCATCCGGAAGTTCCAATTTTCGATGACTCTTTCGAGCATAGGGACCTGAATTGCGGCAATTTCTCGCGTAATGTTGGCTTCCAAAGCGTCAATCGTCGCTGGCTTGTTCGCGTAGACTTTTGACTTCAGATAGCCCCAAAGGAAGAAGTCTAACGGGGTGATATCGCACGATCTTGGTGGCCATTTGACCGGTCCGTTGCGCGAAATCAACTGTTCACCGAATTGACGTCGCAATAGCGCCATTGAAAGTCGCGATACGTGGCATGAAGCGCCGTCTTGTTGAAACCAAATATCGTCGAGATCACGGGCTTCAATTTCAGGCACCAACCAGTCCGTTATCATTTCGCGATATCGGTCCCCATTGACAGTAACGTTGCGGCCGGCCTCATTTCGAAAGAAGTAAGGTCCAATGATTCCACCCGCCCAAAGACCACACCAAACCGTTGTTCTCAATGGATGTAATGGCAGTTCTTGAACTTGTTCGGGTTTTTCTTCTCCCCAAATACGGCAATTGTGCTTATTTACGTGGCCATTGAGCGTAAAGTGGGCCTTATCACTGAACAAAATTCTGGTCGAAAACAGTGGATCTTCTTCCAGTTTTTCGAGGGCCCAAACACTGAAACGGTAGCGATTGGGCATGTCGGTTGGCTTCAATTCTTGCACGAGTTGAATTTTGTAAGCCTTTAAACCAAGATCACGACGTAAAATACGCCAGGTGGTGGCATAAGACAAGCCAAGCTGCTGCGAACGGTGCCGAATCGATTCTTCCCGGTCTTCGCGTACACTGTCGGCTACCGCCGCTATATTTTCAGCACTGCGAGCTGGATGTGGTCTATTCGGTCGTAAATCATCCAATAATGTAAATTGGGTTTCCAATTTGGCGATGGTATTCCGTATAGTGGGTTCCGTGGGTCGATGATGTTGACCATAAGTTGACCGAAGTCCACGAAACACATTCCTCACAGAACGCGAATTTTCGTAGTACAATTGAACGATTTGTAAACGTTGGGCTGGAGTGAGTCTTTCCATGATAAAATGCCAAACAATACTGAACAAAAATAGCCTGACAGTTGGACACGAATCACGCGTGATCCACGAAAAAATCCCTATTGAAAAAAAAAACCTCTAAATGAATCACCCTTTAGAAGGCCAGTTGTTGAAGCGACCAAACCAAAGTGGAAATGTTAATCAGCACGAAAATTTAGCGATTATTTTTTCCGTAATGATAGTCATCCAATATATTAACTTATATATTCGATTTCATCAAATGGTTGCTGTGATTGAAAGATTGATGATGATTGAATGAATGTGGTTCTATAATAGACCTTCTATTTTGTGATTTGAAAATACTTGTTTTGCCCTAAAATCGAATTATACGAGCGTTCGACCCAGCGCCGTACCGTAGAAAAATTAAAATGAGGCTCCGGCAATTTTTTTCTAGAAATGATGAATGCGTGAAATTCAGAAAATTTCAGATTGGGCTCGGCCCCAAACGCTTGTATGAAAGGTGCGGCGCTGGTTCGACCTATTCTTTTCTCAAATAGTTTAATAAGGATGAACATGGGTTCGATTCGAATTATGTCACGTCAATTTTCATTTAGACAATTTCCATGTTTCCAAATTTTCAACCTAGTTCATTTTCATTTTTTAATTTATTCATTCAAAAAAGTGTACATATATCTCGACTCGGAACATTTGAATAAATTCATTACTTATCGACCATTCACCTGTGCACAAGTTTGTTCCTTCTTTTCCGGCAATAACTCTCGAAAATCGATCTAAATGAATAATTCAGAGCATTTGTGCAGTTGCAAAAAGAAAAAGTGGAAAAGTGTGAATAATTGGCCGGAATGCTGTGCAATGGATGACTGTGTTATAATCAGATGTAGAAGCTGATAATGATTCTTCATAGCTTGTTTGAGTATGGTGGCGGCGGCAGCAGCAAAAGGTAGAGGGAGAGAGAGAGAGTAACCCGTGTGAAAAAATAGTAACTGAGCAGTCAGTTAACTAATTTTGGACAAAAATGACTTACTTTGATTGACATTTCAGTACAAAGTATAGTGTAAGTCTATTATAGTTAACTGAAATCATTTGAAGTTACAAGTCAATCTAAGTTGCTTCATTTGGGACCAAGTGATTTTCTTAGAACAAAAATATAAATTCAATCAACTAAAGTCAACTGAAGTTATAGTCAGTCAGTCATTTCTTTTTCACACGGGAACGGGTTTATTGATTTGGACACATAGAGTCGAAAATCGGCACACATCATTTTCGAATGCGGTCAAAATGTGTTCCAAATTTAACAGTCAAGTTGTTGTGTGACATAGTTGAACCTTGCGAAACAACATAAAAAAAAATGTTTTTGTATTCTAATTGATGTGTTTAGTCAGAGTGAATCGAGCGCAGGCATTGTGATGGCATTTTGCTTTTCTTTCGCTTTTTTGCGTGCCTTTGCACTACTCCTTCCAAGTCTTTTTTTTCCACATCGTCGCGCTCAATTTGTTACCTTTGCACTCGTATACATGTGGTTCCCCATCACATTTCATGTTTGTTAAGCGCAACAACTAAGCTTTTGAATAGTTTGCGACATGCCATGAATCACATTGATTTATTGGCGCTGACCAAAGAAAGAAAACGGACGTACATCGCGAGTTGCATCGACCGATTTATTTTCCATTTCATTTGACAACAGTAACTAGAATTCAATTGCGTGTGCAATACTGTGAGATTCACATTTGCATATTTGATTTTAGATTTGTTTCGACTCAAGTTATCGATGCCATAATTCAATTGAATAATCGACTTTCCATTCTTATCTTTGAGCACATTATGTGATCAATTAATCGGCTCAATGGTTGAATCTAATCACGGCAGGAAAGGCCAATGTACAGGTGGGCATTTCTTAGAGTAGCTACTAGCTACCCATTCTACAAACTCATTGCTAGAGCTCTCATGAGCCGAACTCGAACCGTTCAGGTCTGTTCAGTTTATTTTTACCTATTCCGCCCACCTATAGGTCGACCACTCAATTTGTCCATGCGAATGTATGTTTGCCGCATCAGAATGAATGAGTGAGCATGTGAGCAACAAGTAAAACGTGTGCATCTTATGGAATTCTCGATGTGCAAGTGTGACAGGTTGCAGAATAAGTTGTTGTGTCCATTTGTGTCTGTGATTTGTTTGCACATTGAATGTACATCAAAATCGTTTTCGTAACGAAGATTTATTTCGATGGTGCCTGCACGGTTGATTCTATCAAGGCTTGTGTTTTTACCGATCATAAAACACTAAAAACAATAATAAACGCACGACACAAAATCAACACTCGACAGATGGGCAAGTTCATTGCAAAGAAGAAGAAAAACAGAGAAACACACATTCGATAAATGCAATCAACCGAGTAAAAATGTTGAACAATTTCACACTTCTGTGCGCACAGGAGACTATAAATAATTTCCGTGCCGCACCATAATTGACGCACATTGCTGCAAAATGTAAACTTGGAATATCGCTGTTTCCCTCTCTCTCTCTCTTTCTCTATCTGACACACACACACGCACACACTGTGCAAAACATATAACCGACAATTGACACATCTTGCACATGCCAAACATGAGCCGACTGCCAACAACTAAGTGCATTCAATGCAATAAACGACCATCTCAAAAATGATATCGCCAATACAATCTAAACATAATTTCTGATATCGTGCAAACGCGCCGCATTGACCACTGCATCAACTGACTCCGTTGTATAATTCCAAGAAGAGAAAATAAATGTAGATAGATAAAATTACACCGAAAGGGCTTTTAACTCATCTTCACTTCTATTCATAGCGAATTATGACACATTTATCGCACGTACACAAAGTTGCACTCATAAACGACGACTCAGCCAAATAGTCCACGCTCGATGCAATTCATATCTCGAATATTATTATGATTGGAACTGGATGAAGGGAAAATGCTAATGATTGAAGTTCGGTGTAAATTGAAGAATTTTTTCGCTAGGAATACTTGAGGCTAAATTTTTAATCAATCAAGCTGCATCACTCATATTCATTCAGTTGTTTATTCATAGTCGCACGATTTAAATTACTAACGATTCAATTCCCAAGCAAATCACAACTCACTTTATCGAAAAACTGTTAACGGTTTAATGACTAACTGTGGAAAAACGAATAAGTTCGCCGGAATTAAAAATAAGAGTGGCTAAAATGTACTTCGTCATTTGTTCTTGTTGAACTAAAAATAAACTAGTTTCTCATGCAATACATAGTCACTCACCCAATCTTTTGAAGGATCTCTTCAATCTAATTGTTTCGTTGATGTTTTGTTTCTCTTTTAATGTGTATCGCATCGTATTTAAAATAATATTTCAAAGTAATTTTTGCCTATCTTTCGAGTACTGAACGTAGAACCCATTGAGTCACTACTGTTTAGTCAATACTGTAGTTAAACGGGAAAGAATCTACATTTCGTTCTATTTTTGTATGTATTCACTTGCGGCGGCAACGTTTTTGATTAGCTTTTATTATTTAAACCAAAAAAGTCGCTATAATTGTTCATGCCGTTTTATTAGTCATACATTTTTTTGCCTCTATTTTCCATGCTTACGTATACGTGTAATTAATTTCTTCCATTTATAAAGTATATTCCATGCAAATGCAAATCGTAGAACTGCCTCTGTATCCCATTTATTATCAGCAAATTTATCTACTGATTTTTTGCTTATCAGAATCGATTTGGTTTTAGCGTCTTTATGTTATTCGAGAATTGTTTATTTACCGAATATTATTCATAATATCCAGTGAGATATGAAATCGACTCTCTTGAAAATACATATTCAATTCTCACTTATACAAATCGATATGAGATACGTTATTTAAATTTGGTACACATATTTAATTGTTGACTTTAACCCATTTTCTACCAAGGTGCAAAAGTGGGTTCGAAATGAGTAACCAATAGTCTATCTAGCATAATTTTCCCCTGGAAACTCCGAAAAAACTGTCATGTGGAAAATTTTTGTTTGCAGTTTTTCCGGAAAATGGATTTTCCGGTAAACCATATTTTTGTAGGCTCACAAACTGATCAATCAAAAACCGTTATACTTTATTTATTAAAAATATTAACTATAAGTCTATTTAGAGTTATTTTGGCATGAAAAAATGAAAAAAAATGTCAGATGGAAAATTCGTCTTGTAGTTTTCCAGAAATGCCCCGGAAAATTTTTGTTCCATTTTTCGAACATTGGTCATTAGCCCGGGATTCTTTATTATCTCCAAATCCACCCTGGGCTTCCCCAAGTACCTCCTGAACATAGGCCCAGAGGACTTACACATTTTGAAAAATAATGTTCAACACTTGCTTTTTGAGTATATGTCTGTTATTCTTGCCTATCTCTAGGTCGAGATATAAATAGGGATGGCCTTTGTTCGAAAAATCGAACGCTGGTAGAAAATGGGTTAAACAGATATGATTACAATCAATTGTGTTAATGTGCAAGAGATGTGGGTGTTTTTCAAAATTCAACATTTAGAGTCGAAAATTAGGTGAAAAGAGTTTGGAAAATAGTGAACAATGTCCAAGGACTATCCGATCGAATTGATCGGCACCGATCGCCCAAATCGATTTCAAGTCAATCCAGTCACACCAATTAAAAATACCACCACAGAAGATGTCGAGACCGAAGCATTTGAAGAAGATACTTTCGATGACGACGACATTGTACTACGGAATAATCGTCGTTCGTCGAGGTATGCCCGAACTTTTTCTACTTGAATTTATCGCAGTTTTGAAGAAAAAAACGCAGATCAAAAAATTTGTCTTTAATAATATAATATCTGACATTTGATAAAATGTTTCAGATTAAATTCGCTTTCGTTGAGGAGTAGCTTCCGTGATAAAGACAAACCGGCCAAATACAAAGATATTCAAACCACACGGTTTCAAGTGAGTTCATAATTTCGTCAATTCTCTAGATTAGGATTGAACTTTTTTATACGATGAAAAGTTTTTAAATAAGCTTTAAAAAGGCTTCGGTTTAAATCCGAATTTTCATAATAAAACGTAATTGATTTCCGAAGGTACCCCGAAACGATGATTCGGATTCAAATAGCGAAGACCGTGACAACTTACTGGAAGATTTCGATACCAATTGCCGCCGGAGTTTTTTGTAAGTATTGACATCTCGATTGAGTTAATTTGGTTTTGGACATAGCCCATTGCAATCACTGTAATTAACATAATTATGATTTCTTCACAAAAAAGGGAAATTAATTTTTTTAAAAAAATTAAAAATTGAAAACAATAATTGATGTACTAAACGCTTGGAATTGATTGTGCCTGTTCCAATTTATAGGCATTTTACCAGGGAAGCTTTGCCCCGTTTGGACAACTACAGAGACATTTTATCAGTGCAAGCTGTCTATCGACCGACGTTAGATGATTTACACAATGCGACCATGTCGAATAAAGTGAGTATCGAAATCAATCAGTCACATGTTCAAATAACCTGTCGTCAATTATGTAAATGACATTTGTTTAGTCAGCTAACTTCACAGCACGCATTCTACTAAATTTAACCTGTTTACTAACCAAGTCCATTTTATTTATCGTCATAAGGTGTAATGGATTCGACAGAATTGAATTCTTTGAATGCAAATTTCTAATCAAAATTTAATTTTGAGCGTGAGCTCATTTCAACGCTTGTCAAAGTGAAGCAATTTGATAAGCAAAAGACGGAAACAATGCAAATTCTTCGGCAAACTGGTTCAAAATGTACGTGAAATAATATCCACAGCCATTTAAACAATGAAATTATTCAGTTAAAAGTCAATAATCAGTTCAAGGTATAGGTTTTGAAGAAATAAAAAGAAAAAATAACTTTATATTGATAAACCCTTGCGTGATAACAACCATGAACAAAAAAAAAACGTTCATCATGGCTATGTACTGAACGAAAACTCCGGTGAAGATATTGATTTAAAATAAAGGGATCAACGAACTGTGTCATTAATTGGAGAACAATTGTCGTAATTTCATCGTTGAAATTTGAACTTGTCTCACATTTGAATAACGTCTGTAGTCTGCCTTCGGAATAGAATCGATACATTGCTTTGATTTGTGCCTCAAATTCGTTTTATTTTAATTTTATGTCGCGGTAGATTGGAATTTTGAAACGAATCATGACTGTTATCGATCAAGGGGATGGACACCAATGCTAATATTCTATTTTCGTGCTAATTTCGCTAATTTTTTCTAGTTTACTATTTTCCATAAGAAACACACTGTCTAATGCATTTTAAATAGAGATTTGTACCTCCATAAGAAATGTATTGAAACAATGTAAATCAAATGGCAATTTAATTCTTGGTGATTTTTGAGTGTTTGTAAACAAATTCTACATCTGAAATACATTGTTCCTTTGTAATTTTTATGCGAGAGCGTTGCCCATAAGGAATACACAGCACTGTACATTACTTATGGAAGAGCGCCGCTGTAGATTAACGGTACTGTGTGCATAAGAAGTGTACGGTGCTGTGTATTCCTTATGGTAAATGCTCTCGCATAAGAATTACATAGGAACAATGTATTTTAGATGTAGAATTTGTTTACAAATATTCAAAAATCAGCAAAAATAAAATTGCCATTTGATTTACATTGTTTCAATACATTCCTTATGGAGGTAAAAATCTCCATTTGAAATGCATTGAACCAATATATTTCAAATGGGCAGCTGTATTTCCTCTATATAAAATAAATAATCTGAAATAGCAGCTACCGCACAATTTGTTCCGAATTATTCTGAACGATCAATTGGATTTTTTAGAAATAGAGGCCAAACGTTATATATGGATTTGTCTCTTTTTCATTGATTGAACGTTTGGATACCACTTCCAAAATCCAATTGATCGTTCAGAATAATTCGGAACAAATTGTGCGGTAGCTGCTATTTCAAAATATCCCGAACTATTGACTAAAAATAACAACTACTAATAGCTCGAAATATAGCCGTATAAAAAATGTGATCTCTGTGTCGAAATTACCAAGTCCACAGCATTAGCTTCGCCGATATAATTTGAGATCAAGATCAAGACGAAGTGAAGAAGCCATAAATGCTGCTCATAATATTTTTGGCACTCAATCAGATGAACATGTTTTTAATATGAAAGCCAACGAAATTCATCCAACATTAGTGGGTGGAAAAGGAAGAGGAGAAAATGATAAGTTCTTCCTCTATTTATCCATGTTGAAAAAGAATTTCTTTGTTCCCAAATGTTCTGAATATAGTTTGAAATATTGTTGTATAACTAGTCAAAGAATAGTCATTGACTTTAACGTAACAGATGCAATTCTTCCTTGTTTTCAATTAGAAATGAAAGGAAACATTTTCGGTCGTCTTCTTCTTCTTCAAATGATACGCCTTCACGAATGCGGTCTATTCAAGCCGTACGTTAGCATGCATTTTAAATGAGTTGTCGCCGAGTCATCTCTCGACTTTAATCAATTAACCTTCGGTTGCATCTTTATTTGAGTTCAAATGTCAATAAGTCATCACTTACGACTACGCAAACCGCACCGTACTCACATTGAAATGGGAGCTCTTCAGAAATAAAACTAATGAATGAAATTGAAAATAGTGAATGGATGCTTATTTGTTGATTGTATTTGAGTTGTTTTTCTTACTACGCAATTCAAACTGAATTATTTCATTCAATTGATTGCGACAAACAAATGACTAATTAAAACGAAACTACAATTAACTGCTCAATGATGATTATGAAGTTTAATTTAGAAATTAGTATTCAATCGCCTCGAATAAATAAATTAATTATGCAAAATTTCTTGTACAAAAACAACAATGATAGCAAACAAATGTGCCAATTGGTGATCAGGACGTGGAATCGGAAGGCGGTATTAAATTTGGATGGATCAAAGGCGTTTTGATGCGATGCATTTTGAATATTTGGGGTGTTATGCTATTTTTGCGCTTGAGCTGGGTATAAATAAAATCCGTTTCATGAAGATACACATTAATAAATATTATCAAATTTTATTAGGTCGTGGCTCAAGCAGGCGTGATAGAAGGTTGTCTTCTCATCATAACAACGACCGTTGTGACAACAATCACAGCTCTATCCATGTCCGCTATCAGTACAAATGGCGTCGTAAAAGGAGGTAATTACGCATTCGGCTTATTGTTCTCGTAAAAGCGCTTTTCATCGCCGATGAGAAAGGTTGTCAATTTTGGGTTTTGACCATTGAATCAAATAAAATGGAAAAAAATCAATATAGAAATTAAGTTGTTCTGAAAACCAAACAAATTCACAAAAATGTTCAAATTTTTTTTTTGCACAGGTGGAACGTACTACATGATATCGCGTTCTCTTGGTAAATGCTAATGCATAATTGCTGAATTAAATTGAGTTGATTAAAAAAATATATAAATAATTGTATTAAAAAATATTTAAGGTCCCGAATTCGGCGGTTCGATTGGTTTGATTTTTTCGCTGGCAAATGCCGTTGCATGCGCTATGTATGTGGTTGGTTTTTGTGAGTCATTGAATTCGCTGCTCAATTCGTTTGGAGTGAGTATTTTTGACGGAGACATTCAAGATCGACGTATACTCGGTAGTATAACCATCATCATTTTGCTGTGGATTGTGGTGATTGGCATGGAATGGGAAGCAAAAGTATGTAAAATTATCATATCTTATACACTCGCACACATAAAACAAAATCATTTTTAATCATTTTAACCGATCAGTTGTTCGTTTCTGATGCATGCAGGCTCAGATTGTCCTGTTATGCATATTACTCTTAGCCATCGCTGATTTTTTCATCGGCACATTCGTCGGTCCGAAATCCTTAATTGAAAAATCCAGGTAGGGCACGATTGTAAAATTCTTAATACAATGTATGATAATCAATTTCTTAACTTCTGGTGTTCAATCTTGGTGTTGTCTGGAAGAGGGTTCATTGGATATAACGGTAAATTTTAAACGAAAATCACAGAACGTCTAACCTGAGTTCACTGCGAACAATTCTCTTTCACTCTAACAACAATTTTCACTTAAACGACTCAGTGTGACAGTTAGTGTGAGAGAGACAAAGTTTGACAGCTGACTATTTAGAAGAGACTTTATTGAAGTTTTTTTCTATTTTCCTTAAAAACTGATAATAGTTATGTAATTTGAAATATTCAAACATTTTAGCCACAACATTCAAAGCGAATCTCGGGACGGATTATCGCCAGTACGATGAAGTTTCACACAATTTCTTTTCGGTATTTGCAATTTTCTTTCCAGCTGCAACAGGAATATTAGCAGGCGCCAATATCTCTGGCGATTTGAAGGTTCGATTTTATTTTTAGGGAATACCTTTGAACAGTTTATGTTAAATACTTTTCCAATGGAAAATTTCCATAGGATCCATCGCATTCAATTCCAAAAGGCACAATTCTGGCTATATTCATTACCTCCGCTACGTATATTATAATGGCTGTTGTGGTCGGCTCAGGTAGGACACACGATTTCAGTTCATTGTGAAATTCACATGCAATGTACGATAATTAATTTCTTATCTTCTTCTCAGTTGTCGTTCGTGATGCAACCGGCCACATCGAAGACGCGAAAAATGGTTCGTTCGACTTTTTAAACTGTACACCTGGCCAATGTCAATACGGTCTACATAACTCATTCGAGGTGATTGAACTGGTTTCCCTTTTTGGCCCACTCATTTATGCCGGATGCTTTGCAGCTACCCTATCATCGGCATTGGCTAGTTTAGTATCGGCACCAAAAGTTTTTCAGGTGAATTTCCAGTTTTTTCTTGGTTAAATACAAAAACGTCAAAAATAAAACAAAATCGTCTAAAAAATGACAATTTCGTCTAAAGGAAATGGTCCCCCCTTTTTTTGTCCATAGATGTTTTTGGAGTCTTTTAGATGATTTTGTCATTTTTTCTAGAAAATGTGTATTTAGGCGATTTTGTCACTTTAAATAAACATTTTGTCCATAGATGTTTTTGGAGTGTTTTAGATGTTTTTGTCAATTTTGTCAGAAAACTCGTATTTAGACGATTTTGTTATTTTAAAACCCGATTTTGTTAAGAAAAAAATTGCCACATTTTTAGATGATTTTGTCATTTTAAAAAAAATATTTTAGACGAATTTGTTAAAAAAGGGACCATTTCCTTTAGACGAAATTGTCATTTTTTTAGACGATTTTGTTTTATTTTTAGACGTTTTTATAAGCAGCCTTTTTTCTTTTATTCTGATTAATATACCAAACCAGTTTCACTGTGAAGTTAATCTTGGTATCGAGATGTCAATCATTATCCAATTTTTTGTCCACAGGCATTGTGCAAAGACAAATTATATCCCAAGATTCAATGGTTCGCACGCGGTTATGGCAAGAACAATGAACCAGGTAGGGTAAATTCTGAAATTCACATGCAATGTACGATAATCAATTTCTTATCTTCTTCTCGTTCAATCTTGGTGTTGTCTGGAAGTTCGCGGATATATTTTAACATTCATCATATCAATTGCGTAAGGAATCAAAATGAAACTGAACCACTAAATTTCTTCCGCATTGTCTCACCCGTTTCACACCATTCCTTTTTTCATTTGCATTGCAGATTCATCTTGATTGGAGATTTGAATGCAATAGCTCCATTGATTTCGAATTTCTTTTTGGCTGCGTATATGTTGGTCAATTTTTCAACGTTTCACGCGAGTTTGGCCAAGCCAGTGGGATGGCGTCCAACATTCAAGGTGAACGAATGCAAAATGTGCTTCATCACTAACTCCTTTGTCTCCTCACTTAGTATAAAAACTAATATTTCTCTCTTGCAGTATTACAATATGTGGTTGAGCTTATTGGGAGCTGCTCTCTGTGTGGCCGTTATGTTTTTGGTAAAATTGACAAAAACTTCTATTAACAAAATGTTTTTTTAAAATGACAAAATCGCCTAAATACACATTTTCTAGATCTCTTGGTCGACAGCCTTGTTGACATTTGCCGCAGTCATTGCACTCTATTTAATTGTTTCACAAAATCGACCAGATGTAAATTGGGGGTCGACCACACAGGCGCAAACGTACAAAAATGCACTACTTTCAGTGTTACAACTGAATAACGTTGACGAACACGTAAAAAATTATCGCCCACAAATTTTGGTGTTATCTGGATTGCCAAGTGCCCGGCCGATACTCATTGATTTTGCCGATTTGCTGACGAAGAAATTGTCGCTTCTGATTTGCGGTCATATCATTGAGGGAACATCGACACAGAGAGAACGAGTTTTTCTGCAGCGACAAGCACGCGAATGGTTCAAAAAGCACAAGGTTAAGGGATTTTACACGGTTGTCGATGGCGAAAGTTTTGAAAATGGTGCAAGAGCACTACTTCAAGCATCTGGAGTCGGTAAACTGAAGCCAAACATCGTTTTGATGGGCTATAAACAAGATTGGCAAACTTGCACTAAAGATGAACTTCAATCTTATTTCGATACCATTCACAAGGTAAAAAAAAGGTGTTCCATATTTAACTCTCTAGTGTATTAGATGTTCTCAGCGTTGCGAAGGGCCAAGCTTGATTTATTTTAAGGTGTATAGATAGCTGAGAATGTATTTCACCTAGTTCACTCAAAAAATGCTATCCAAAAAATAAAAAAAATAAAAACCATCGTTTTAAAATGTCGGAATGTATCTAAATTGGAGTCCAAAGCCTGAAGTAGACTAAAAGTGTGGAAGAAAACACATTGACGAATGCAAAGCAAAGCGATTCGACTTACAGTTCACCTTAATGAATCAATGAATGATTTCAAATTTCTCTTGTAGGCTCTCGATATGCATATGGCCACAGCGATCCTGCGAGTGGAAAAAGGTTTGGACTATTCACGTGTTTTGGGCGAAGACAACGAAAAACAAACGGCCACCGAAGAACAACGTATCATTCAAACAAACGATAGTACAACCGATTTGTTGGCCAATTCCCATGTTCACGGCAGCAATGAATTCCTTAGCCGAATTCCATCACAAGGTACTAGGGTTTACAAACGTTTCGACAAATACCGCAAACGGTGTTATAAAAACGTTATTTTTCTGTAGTGTTTTTTTTGACAGTCCAAAATACCGCAGAAATAACGATAAAAAACGAAAAAAAACGTTTTTTGGGCGGTATATAACGGCTCTGTAAAAAAACGTTTTTAGGAAACACTGAAAAAATAACGCGTTTTTAAACCCTTCAAGGAACCCCACAATTTTTTTTTTTTATTTAAAAAAAATTTCTTCTGTCGAGAATTAAACTCTCTTGCGTTTGGAACGGAAGAATGGCGATGCACTTACTAAAAATATACTTGATTAAACTTTTTTTGCTTGTGTATTTTGCATGACTGACGTTCTTTTTAAAACGGATATTTCTTGACCTTTTCGCATAAACACAAACACACACACACACACACACAAAATTCTCTGCACACCCACACAATACAAATTTCGATTTCGTTAGCTGTGAATGAAAAATCCAACCACAACAATAATAACAACAACACAAATTTGCGCAAAGGTTAGTAAATGGCAAGTGGCATGCAATGTCCACGACTAATTGCATTCTCAAACCATTTTTTCAAAAGAAGTCAACTGTCACAACACGGATTTTCCATCCACGCGACATGAACCATACAAACGAAGTTTCGTACACGCAGCGCCCGTGTACTTCGTAGTGGAAGAAAAGTGAAACTTGCTTGTCACCAATATTGATGTTCACGGACATCAAATTGTTTATGCGTTATTTCGCCCACTTTATGCACTAAAACTATTAAATTCCTTAATTGGTATCAAATTTTACTTTTCCGTACACAACGTGTCAAGGGAAAGTATAGGAATTGGTCCCGAAAACTTTTTTCGCAAAATTAGCTTAGATCATCATAAAAACTCATGAAACGCGTAGAAAACCACTTTTTGAGACACTTTTCCGTTCGTGTGCCGTCGTTGTCGTTGTCGTAGCTGTTTGTTAACACGATAGCTCAAAAAATAATTGAGATAATCCAAATCTGAAAGTCCCAAAAGTTTTGTATCCAATAAACTTAGTTTAAGTTCGAAGATGAGCCATTTTCGATTTGACCCTGGGGTACTTGCTCCAAGAAAAACCTCAAAAAATTGACACTTTTGTATGGGAGGTACCTGTAAATCGACTCCGATTGGCTTCAAACTTTCTGGGATTTCATTTTTTGAGAGA